CTAACCGTCCAACTTGATGTTCTAACCGTCCAACTCTCCTTGATGTTCTAACCATCCAACTTGATGTTCTAACCGTCCAACTAGATGTTCTAACCGTCTAACTCCTCTGGATGTTCTAACCGTCCAACTCCCCTCAGTGTTCTAACCGTCCAACTTGATGCTCTAACCGTCCAACTTGATGCTCTAACCGTCCAACCAATTTGATGTTCTAACCGTCCAACTTGATGTTCTAACCGTCCAACTCCTCTGGATGTTCTAACCGTCGAACTCCCGTCAGTGTTCTAACCGTCCAACTTGATGCTCCAACCGTCCAGTTACCATCTGACTCCACTTAATGGCACCGACCAGACCCATCATTCTTAGTACAAGCAAGGCACCACTTCCGGTCTTCGGTGACACGTGACGTCTAACAATGACGTAACGTTACAAGCACTCCTAGCGACACACGCACACACACACACACAGACACGCACACACGCACACAGAGACACGCACACACGCACACACAGACACGCACACATGCACACAGAGACACGCACACACACACACATGAACCCACTCGATGGTTCCACACACGCACATACACACACGCACACACACACGCACACACACACACACAGATGAATCCACTCGAAATCTCCTCGTTAGCTGTGATACAGAGAGAGAGAGGGGTGGGGGAGGGGGTAGAGAAAGAGATAGAGACCGTAGTGCGTCCATGTCTCCCATTAGACCACCGTACATTGAATTTGACGGTCTATTTAAAATTGACAGCCTATTCATATAAAACGGTAGCAGGTTTTGTTCCGTAAAAAAAAAATGTTTTTGGCAACGACCAACGGTTGCATGTGTGTCTTTTTAAATTGACTTTAAATTGAATGTTTTATGAGCTTTTTAAATTATATTTCCATAGCCGAAAAACAACACCAATTCACATTTAAAAGTTTACAATCATCGCAGTTCCAGGCGTTTCTTTAGTTTTCTTGCTCCAAATTCGGGTTAGTAGTTGTATCTTAGGTGAAATGTGTCTACAATCAATGACCACGACAGTTTCACGTTTTATCAAGAGTGCCAGCGGATTTTGGTTCACGAATGTAGAGGCAGTAGTGAGACTTGGCAGCTTGAGTAAATTAACAAGTTTCGACAGGCGGTAGAAATAAATGACTGAGACTAGGCAGGTTGCTACTATGATAACACCACCGAAGGCCAAGCCAGATGCATCAAAAAATGAAAACGTTAATTTTTTAAATTGTTTGTGCTATTACCCGTAGCGTGATGTTTTTTTCTAATTGACAAATAATTAACTTAATTACAGCGCCATCTAGTGTGTACACATTAATATTCGAGAGAAAAAAAATTTTTTATCGTGTCAACAAGCAAGGATTAGATGGGATGATTATATACATGACATGATTAGATGTGACGATTATATACATGACAAGCTTTCAAACACGAGAATAAGATTGAGAAAAAATTATTTTGTATCTACAGCAAAGTTTGGGATGTCGAATTATTTGCGTACATAGCTAATTATTTACAGATATATGCAACTAGCTAATTATTTATATATCTATTTATATTTGTACATAGAAATTATATGGGAAGCTCTTTGAAGATTTTGCTGTGTACATTGATTTTATTTTAAAGTAATTACATCTTCAGTCCATTACTTGGTCAATAAGACCTTCAGTCCATTACTTGGTCAATAAGACCTTTAGTCCATTACTTGGTCAATAAGACCTTTAGTCCATTACTTGGTCAATAAGACCTTTAGTCCATTACTTGGAACCTAAGACCTTCAACTCTTTATATCCAGTGACCCCCTTCACCGACCAAAACATTCGACCAACAAACGACCCCCAAGTTCGATAAGTCTCATCTTGTCCTGTTTGTCTGCAGACAGCTCCCCGACAACCGTGTCGCTGTTATCAAATAGCGGGATTGAAATTTGCACCATTTTACACAATCTTGGAATCTGCAAAGTTTGTACGCAATCTTGGAATCTGCACCATTTTTACACATTCTTGGAATCTGCACCATTTGTAGACCTTCTCTCCCCACTTTTTAAAATATTTTTATTTTAAAATTTTCTCCTAAAATCTTTTTTTTTAATCGTGCCCGAATATCAGACTAATTATCTTTTTATTTAACTGCATGACATGCCAACTTTATTGAATGTGAAGGCTCGTATTTGTGATGGGGGGGGGGGGGTTGTAGGGCAACTTTATTAAATGGTAGGTCTTGTATTAGCGAGGTGGGGGGGGGGGGTGTAACATAAAATATAGAATAGAAATGGAATATAAATGCTCATTAGAAATAAGTTGGAAAAAAACTCAAAAGATTCTCGTTGTATTAAACTACCAACCTAAAGAGTGTTTAGAATTATTTTCAAAATGTTTGTTGATATGCTGTCGGTTGAAGTGTTGTCGTAGTTGATACATTTTGAAATTTGATTGAAAGATGTCAGCCCCTTTACAAAAAGCAGATCATCTTTGTCATAAACATACATATGTGGATACCCAGATATATAATTTCTTGAGGAACACCCTACCCTCCCCCCCCCCCTTCACCCCCTTATGTACTATATTGGTAAGAATCCATGGGTTTCGTTTCGATAAAGTTGTGAGCGAGGTTAATGTTTGAGTTATCTATGTCGTTCGTATATATATATATATATATATATATATATATATATATATATATATATATATATATATATATATATATATATATATATATATATATATATATATATATATAATACAAATTCACCCACACAGCTCTCCATCCCTTAAAGTCAACCCCCCTTACCTCCCCTCCCCTCCCCCCCCCCCCCCAGGCCAGCAAATCAAGGGCTGGGTCAGAGAGACATGTGCTCGGTCAGGAAAGTGTAAGTCACTTAAAGCCGGAAATTCCAGCTGTCTAGGAGCCGTAATGAAAGCGATAATTCGGACTGTTCCCTTGTCGTGCCACGTGGGGCGGCTCTCCACTGACCAGTGGCTGACCAGCGGTCAAGCCTAATGCATCCATTAGTCTCTCATTAGAAACTGACCCACACGATCACCCACTGTATCGAACCCTAATCTCGCTCGATCATTGACTGACCCCAGCAGGATTAAAACATCAACTATTGAACTAAATCCTCCGCTACAGTTTGTAAAACTTTATGCCGAATGTGTATATGATTTTCTAAAGAGACATCTAATAGCCGTAAAAAGACGAACCATCAGGGGCAATAACACCAGCACTGTATAGTTTAACTGTATTACTTCCCCTTAAAGTCGGTGACCTCCCTTAGACCAGAGTTAAATATCCCTTACTGGGGTCTTGTAAGATAAATGACCAGTAATTGGCTGAAGTAAGGGGATCTAATCCATAGACCACACTCCGCTGTTCGAGACACCGGGGCTCAAATTCTCTGGAGAAGTGGGCTTTAACTGGACTTTATCGATGGGCTGAGAAAACTTTGAGATCAATTACAGTTAAATTTGTGTAAATTGTTGTTAGGGAGGTTTCGTTGTCATGGCGACTGATGGCCATAGCTAGTGGTGTATAGTTAGCTCCCCCCCCCACATCAACGGTGTACTGTTAGGGGCATTAACCCAGTGGTTAAGGCTAAAGACGGTAGCTCAGATCAAATTAAGCGTTATAATTAAGACTTGCTGTGAAGTTCTCAAAATCGTTTTAGAAGTTAACTTTACCACAACTTTTAGTTATACTGTGAGCATGCGTAGCTTTCTTGGTTTCTTATTTGTTTCAGTTCAACAGTTTATATATATATATATATATATATATATATATATATATATATATATATATATATATATATATATATATATATATATATATATAAGCCAATATAAATTTAATATTTTCACCACACCTTATTTCTGATTTTTTTTCAATTTTACAACTGGCCCAAAAGCCCATGATCATACACGGAAACTAAAAATGTCATACAAACAATTTATATCATATTTATTACACAATGCATGTCGGACACTTCTAATGTCAAAACATTTTATAAATTGGATGCCAACAAATGCAAGTGAGGTGGGGGGAGGGTATCATTATCACTGGACGCTCGCTGACAATGACGTCATTCACGTGTCCGCTCTCCTGGCTGTAAAACACTTTTTCTCCTCCATAAGATCGGCTGCTGGTGTCATGGAAACATAACTCAACGCTGTAGAAAAATATTCTCAATTTTATTGTTTACAAGGAAAATACACACAGTTTATATTGTGTTCTATAAAAATACTCCCAATTTTATTGTGTACAAGAAAAATACTCTCAATTGTATTGTGTACAAGAAAAATACTCTCAATTGTATTGTGTACAAGAAAAATACACTCAGTTTTTATTGTGTACAATAAAAATACTCCCAATTTTATTGTGTACACGAAAAATACACTCAGTTTTTATTGTGTACAATAAAAATACTACCAATTTTATTGTGTACAAGAAAAATACACTCAGTTTTTATTGTGTACAATAAAAATACTCCCAATTTTATTTTGTACACGAAAAATACACTCAGTTTTTATTGTGTACAATAAAAATACTACCAATTTTATTGTGTACACGAAAAATACACTCAGTTTTTATTGTGTACAATAAAAATACTACCAATTTTATTGTGTACAAGAAAAATACACTCAGTTTTTATTGTGTACAATAAAAATACTACCAATTTTATTGTGTACAAGAAAAATACACTCAGTTTTTATTGTGTACAATAAAAATACTACCAATTTTACTGTGTACACGAAAAATACACTCAGTTTTTATTGTGTACAATAAAAATACTACCAATTTTATTGTGTACAATAAAAATACTCTAAATTGTGTCTGTGGTTCCACTAATGGACCTGGATCAGGCGAAATGGTAGTTCGGCCCCTGAGTCACATATTGTGCGCTACTTACCATAAACGTGGGTCAGACATTATGTAGCTTTTTGAGGAGAAATGTAAAGGCAGGTTTTCATCGTTTTCAGGAGTGTTAAAGTTCAAGGGCGCTGACGCAGACGTGAAGACACGGACAGAGCTGCGGCGTGGATGAAGAACTTGGAGACTTTCAAGATGTCGTCTGTCTGGTCGTCTGTCATCTTCATGCTAGTCCTTCTACAGTTGACCAAGTCAGCATTACAGACAAATATTCATATAGGTGAGTAGTAGGACAGGTGAGTGGTGGTAGGACAGGTGAGTGGTGGTAGGACAGGTGAGTGGTGGTAGGACAGGTGAGTGGTGGGACAGGTGGGTGGTGGTAGTACAGGTGAGTGGTGGTAGGACAGGTGAGTGGTGGGACAGGTGGGTGGTGGTAGGACAGGTGAGTGGTGGTAGGACAGGTGAGTGGTGGGACAGGTGGGTGGTGGTAGGACAGGTGAGTGGTGGTAGGACAGGTGAGTGGTGGTAGGACAGGTGAGTGGTGGTAGGACAGGTGAGTGGTGGTAGGACAGGTGAGTGGTGGTAGGACAGGTGAGTGGTGGTAGGACAGGTGAGTGGTGGTATGGTGAGGGATGGTAGGACAGGTGAGTAATGGTAGAACAGGTGAGTGGTGCAGTAGCGTAGCGAGGGGGGTGGCGGGGGGGGGGTACATATGTCCCCGGGCGCCGACCTTAGGGGGCGACAAAATGGGTTGGAAAAATAAATTGAAAGGTTGAAGGGGGTGCGAATCAAAAGTTTGAGGGGGGGGGGGTGCAAATGGAAATCTCGAGGGGGGTGCAAATCGAAATCTTGAGGGGGGGGGGGGTGCAAATCGAAAAGTTTGTCCCCGGGCGTCGGGAAGGGTCGCTACGCCTCTGGAGTGGTGGTAGGACAGGTGAGTGGTGGTAGGACAGGTGAGTGATGGTAGGACAGGTGAGTGATGGTAGGACAGGTGAGTGATGGTGTAGTGAGTGATGGTAGGACAGGTGAGTGGTGGTGTGGTGGGTGGTGGTAGGACAGGTGAGAGGTGGTGTGGTGGGTGGTGGTAGGACAGGTGGGTGGTGGTAGGACAGGTGAGTGGTGGTAGGACAGGTGAGTGGTGGGACAGGTGAGTGGTGGTGTGGTGGGTGGTGGTAGGACAGGTGAGTGGTGGTAGGACAGGTGAGTGGTGGGACAGGTGAGTGGTGGTGTGGTGGGTGGTGGTAGGACAGGTGAGTGGTGGTGTGGTGGGTGGTGGTAGGACAGGTGAGTGGTGGTGTGGTGGGTGGTGGTAGGGCAGGTGAGTGGTGGTAGGACAGGTGAGTGGTGGTAGGACAGGTGAGTGGTGGGACAGGTGAGTGGTGGTGTGGTGGGTGGTGGTAGGGCAGGTGAGTGGTGGTAGGACAGGTGAGTGGTGGTGTGGTGGGTGGTGGTAGGACAGGTGAGTTTATTCTGTGCACTAATGTTTAGTGTGTGCACTAATGTTTAGCCTGTGCACTAATGTTTAGCCTGTGCACTAGTGTTTAGCCTGTGCACTAATGTTTAGCCTGTGCACTAATGTTTAGCCTGTGCACTAATGTTTAGCCTGTGCACTAATGTTTAGCCTGTGCACTAATGTTTAGCCTGTGCACTATTTCTCTGGTTGAGCACTCGAGTAATGACCTGACTATTGCAGGGGCGATGATCGAGAAGGAACACCTAGACCAGCTGAAGGCGTTGGAGGAGATCATCGCCACCACCAACCTCAACAACTACATCGATAAACTCGTCATCATGAATGTAGGAGGGGACACCGACTTCCATGACAGCTACAGCGCTCATCGGAAAGGTTGGAGTCTTAACCTTTGACCTTAGTGTTTAGATCTAGATAGGGTTCACCTTTAACCTTAGTGTTTAGATCTAGATAGGGTTAAGCTTTGACCTAACCCGTGTTGCTTACAACTTAGTCGCCACTAGGTAACATCTTACCAAGGCTTTAGTCTATCTCCTTAAATAAGGCTTTATTTTATCTTTCGTCTTTTATGTTGATTGCTCATAATGGTCATTTTCTTAAATAAGGCTTTAGTAATTCTTTAGGCTTTAAAGTTGATTGCTCATGCTGGTCATTTCCGAAAACCTGTATACGCCTCTGGAGAGTAGGCTACTTCTTGCAGATTAGCTAGGAGATGTATCAAATAAACAAGATAGTAACCGCGCCAATGTCTACTCGGTACCACATAAACTATTTTATCGTCTGGTCCAACTAGCCTGCAGGATGACATTCAGTGGTATAGCCGCCATGTTTGGGCCAATGACCAGCCTTGCGGCCGGTCACGTGCAGTCCATCTGCAACGCATTTGAGATCCCCCACCTGCAGTGGCGCTGGGACCCCCGGGACAAGAGGGACTACTTCTCCATCAGCCTGTACCCCTACTACGTCAGTCTCGGCACGGCCTACAAGGACGCAGTCAGGCACTGGGAATGGGACAGGTTCACAATTCTCTACGAGGATAACGACGGTCAGTTCACACTCAGTCCTTACCCACACTCAGTCCTTACCCACACTCACTCTTACCCACACTCACTCCTTACCCACACTCAGTCCTTACCCACACTCACTCCTTACCCACACTCACTCTTACCCACACTCACTCCTTACCCACACTCAGTCCTTACCCACACTCACTTTTTACCCACACTCACTCCTTACCCACACTCACTTTTTACCCACACTCAGTCCTTACCCACACTCAGTCCTTCTTACCCACACTCAGTCCTTACCCACACACAGTCCTTACCCACACTCAGTCCTTACCCACACACAGTCCTTACCCACACAGTCCTTACCCACACACAGTCCTTACCCACACTAAAGTCCTTACCCACACTCAGTCCTTACCCACACTCTGTCTTACCCACACTCACTCCTTACCCACACTCTGTCCTTACCCACACTCACTCCTTACCCACACTCTGTCCTTACCCACACTCACTCCTTAACATGTCTTATTCTTTCATTTACATACTATTTATTTTAAATGAGTATCAATAGAGGCTAATATAAAACTCAATATTTAAAGGAAGCGCTCTCTTTAACGATAGAGATTTTCTCTGAAGGCAATAGCAGCCTATTTTGAGTTGCATGGGACTCTTTAGGTCTGCGACATTCTCAGCCCTTTAGCAGTCAAATACTGATTACACAAATAACCCTTCAAAGATATCAAATCTAGTTAGTTTGTGATTACACAGTTACATTGTAATCGTGGGATGTTAGTGGTAGGTGCAGATTACTTATGTTAAAGCACTGTTGATAAAATACGTAATTTGTGTTGTCGTACATGACGTCACTTTATAAAGTACGTGAGTTGTGTTGTCGTACATGACGTCACTTGACACTCTGGCACGGCAGGTCTGACACGGCTGCAGGAAGTGCTGAAGAACACGGCAGACCAGCCGGCCGCCATCACCATCCGGAAACTGGAACTGGGAGACTCGGACTACATCACCCTGCTCAAGGAATTAAAAAGTAAAGGCGAAAACAGGTTCATCATCGACTGCAACATAAATCTAGTTGACAGGTTTCTGCATACGGTGAGTTGGTTTTAATTCTGTATACGATGAGTTGGTTTTAAAAACTGCCTTACTAGAGTCTCTTTCTAGCATCTCTTGAGGGGGGGGGGCGAAAAATGGTAATTTTTATAGAAATTATCATTTTAGCCACTGTCCGCCACGCGCCCCATCCCACCCCCTTGAATGATATATATATATATATATATATATATATATATATATATATATATATATATATATATATATATATATATATATATATATATATATATATATATATATATATATATATATATATATATATATATATATATATAATACTGATTATACTTGGTTTAGCCGCAGTTGCACTGGTTGATTATACTTGAAGCAGATAGATGGCGTCAATCCAGTTAGGACTTACATACAACACTTACATACAATCCAGTTAGGACTTACTAACAAAACCTCAAACTATTTTAAGCTGCGTGACAGTTGTATTTTTTCAAGACTTTCGGTGAGATTTGAGCGAGCCACGGAGTATGGCGTTTATAGATGACACCTACAGAAATTTCCAAAATCACCTTGGATCTTACATTGGGAGTTTCGTTATCATACAACTGGCGTAACCGTCGTGTGCGTTGCTGCGGTCTAGTCCTACTCACATCATACAACTGGCGTAACCATCGTGTGCGTTGCTGCGGTCTAGTCCTACTCACAGAGTGACGACATATTAAGGGTTTCATCGACCCGTTACATATCGTATATATTTTGGGGGCGAGGGTTGTTCACAAAGCCACTCAGACTCCCCAGGGAAGCTGTTTGAAATCGTTGTGTGAAAGTTAATCACCCTCCTGAATAGTGAAGTAGAATACTCCTCGTTGGTTGCTCAGGTTTAAGAGCTACTGGTTCCTCTGCCTCACGGGCGTCAGGTGAGACCCCTAGTTCAATTTAGTCATGGGTCACTTTGTTTCTAGGGGGCGCTTTCAAACGAATCTAGGCACCATATTGCTCATAGGAGCGCCGTGGGCCGCGCCTGTAGCCGTTTGACAGTGCGAGTCCTCTATAAAAATGCATACATTTTGAAATAAAAATTAAAATTGGTTAATTGTTTAAGAAATGTAGTGTAAAATTTACTTAGATGAATCAACTGTAACACCCAACAAACAAAAAGTGCAAGACCCTAAATCTAATTTTATTGTGTTTAAACACATTGCTTTATCCCCTTTTAAGGTAAGATTTTGAATTCATGTTATTACTTGATAATATTTTTGTATATTCTAAATTTGACTTTAAACTTTTGCAGGTTTTGCAACTACAGATGATTTCTTATCAATACCACTACTTTTTTACAACATTGGTAAATATCATTTTAAAATTCGTAATTAACATTTAAAAAATTGCGAAATATAATTGTATTACATTGGTAAAAATGTTATTACAATGTTAAAGTTAAATTCAATATATTTTTCCTAACATGGGTAAGTAAACTAAGTATTAGAGTACTAAACTATTTAAGTGTCACGAGAAAAATGGCCCGTTGAGGAAGGGTACAACGGGCGCTAGGCTGATAGTGCTGTCTCTTTTCTCTAAACTAAAACCAACCCACCCCCCCACACACCACCCCCACACACCACCCCCACCCCCACCCCCCACCACACACCACCCTCACCCCCACACACCACCCCCTCCACACACCGCCCCCCCCACCCCCCACCCCCCACCCCCCCAAAAAAAAACATGTCTACCGTCCCATTCAACGAAATATAATTATATACTTTTTCCAGTGTCCGCCCCCTCCCAGAAAATTCTACCCCCGCCGCCGAAAATTTCAAGTACCCCCACCCCTCTCCGGGGAGGAAAAAGTCTGAAAGAAACACTGAAACCAACCCACCCCCCCACCCCCCACCCCACACACCACCACCCCCCCAACCCACCCCTCCACCACCACCCACCCCCAAAAAAACTTGTCTACCGTCCCATTCAACGAAATATAATTATATACTTTTTCCAGTGTCCGCCCCCTCCCAGAAAATTCTACCCCCGCCGCCGAAAATTTCAAGTACCCCCACCCCTCTCCGGGGAGGAAAAAGTCTGAAAGAAACACTGAAACCAACCCACCCCCCCACACTCCACCCCCCCCCCCCCACACCACCCCCACCCCCCCCCACACCCCCCACCCCCCACCCCACACACCACCACCCCCCCACCCCTCCACCACCACCCACCCCCAAAAAAAACATGTCTACCGTCCCATTCAACGAAATATAATTATATACTTTTTCCAGTGTCCGCCCCCTCCCAGAAAATTCTACCCCCGCCCCCGAAAATTTCAAGTACCCCCACCCCTCTCCGGGGAGGAAAAAGTCTGAAAGAAACACTGAAACCAACCCACCCCCCCCCCCCACCCCCCCACACCACCCCCCCCCCACCCCTCCACCACCACCCACCCCCAAAAAAAAACATGTCTACCGTCCCATTCAACGAAATATAATCATATACTTTTTCCAGTGTCCGCCCCCTCCCAGAAAATTCTACCCCCGCCCCCGAAAATTTCAAGTACCCCCACCCCTCTCCGGGGAGGAAAAAGTCTGAAAGAAACACTGAAACCAACCCACCCCCCCCCCCCCCCACACCACCCCCCACCCCCACCCCCCCCCCCCCACACACACACAATGTTTACGCGAGAATCAATGACGTCATTACATTACTGTGTGCACTCTCTGGTTTGAGATTATGTTCTACTCTACGCTAAATGTGTCGACGTCATATTTCGTTTTTCGAATTGCTGTGCATGTTTTTAAATTGCTTGTGTTTTCTCTAGAGCGTTCTTGTCAGACAGAGCGTTCTTGTCAGACAGAGCGTTCTTGTCAGACAGACAGCGAAACTATTATTATAGACAGAGCGTTCTTGTCAGACAGAGCGTTCTTGTCAGACAGACAGCGAAACTATTATTATAGATTGCATTATTTACACTCTTATGTGAGCTAATGTAAAATTTAAAGATCTCTAGAATCGAGATCTAGCAAAAAAATTTAAAACAAAGAAATCCATTTTTTTCATTTGGCACATATTGGATGGATAGGCATAAAATTAAACTGCTCTGAAATAAAAGTTGAAGCCAAGAAAGCTGAAAGCACAAGTTTTAAGCAGGCGCTTAAAAATAATATTAATGCACCTGGTAAAACCACCAGAGTTTTTTTAAACGTGAGAGTTTGCATTTTCTTAACTTTTATTTCAGAGCAGGTAGGCACTACATTGAATTAAAAAAATAATGTTTGGGATGGCATGCCCAAGCAGTAGAGCGCTAGGCTGCTAACCCGAAACTCTGTTCGAATCTGTGTCCAATTCAGTAGAACATCCCTGATGGGTACCTAACTCATGTTAAAGGCAGGTAGACAAAATGCTGACTGCACCTTCCTTTGGTATGCTGAGGTGAATAAACATATGAACTCTACTTCATCTATACGATGGATCACTAGGACTAAAGACAGAGGATTATTTACTTTTACAATACTTCAAAAATTATGTGTTTAATCTAATTGTATTGCCTGTTACCTAAAACCAAGTCTAAATTGTCAAATAAAAAGTAACCAAAGGGTCTGAAATAACAAAATAAATAAATAAAAGGCAAAAACTATGAAAGTATATTAAAGAAGCAAATATACTCAGAATAATATGTTTAGTGTCAGGATTTCCTGTTCCTGTGACGGCAAGTCTGTTTTGAATGGTTTCAGGACTTAGCCACGCTAGACCTGGAAGACTACAAATATGCAGAGGCCAACATCACAGCCTTTCAGCTCATTGACCCAGAGAGGCCAGCCGTCATTCAGTTTAAAAATGAATTGCTCCGAGGTTTCAACAGTGCCATAGTTTTAAGTGCGAACTCAGAGCTGAAGGTAGGTAAAGCTTACGTCATTCAAATTCATATTTTTTCAGAGTAGTTGATCCAATCTATAAATAGATATATGTATTTTTAAGAATAACATAGCCTCGTTGGATTTTGATATACCGTAAAATATTTTATCAGATTATTAAGTGAACATTGAAAGATTTATTACAGGGCAAGTCCATAAATAACATCTCATTTTTTTTGCAAGTGTAATCTTCCCCCCAGACCTTCACCCCCCCCTCCCCACCTACAGTCACACATATAATTCCCCCCCCCCCCAGACCTTCTCCCCCCCAACCCACCTACAGTCACACATATAATTTTCTCTTTAGACCTTCTCCCTTATAAATGTACTGTTTCTGATTTTGAAAATTCTTTTTTGTAAAATAATGGGACACACCCTTAATAAAGGGACATAAGCAATAACAAATAAAATAAAATAGCTGCTACATACTTTTAAAAAAAAACTAGTTTGAGATTGTGAATAACGTTACTGAATGCTCTTTAAAATTTGCTTGTCAAGATTAGGGGAGAGGGTTAAAATCATCAACAGAATTTAGCGCAATAAAAAGCATTTAAAAATCTGAAGTAGATTCCAAAACAAAGTTTTTAAAATTTTCATTTTAATATTTTAAAGTGTGAATATATTTAAATTCTCCCCCCCCCCCCCCCCACCTCTCATCAGAAATGTTCAGCCCCCTGCCCAACCAGTAATGCAACACAACTTATTGACTACCCCCTTATATATCATTTTATAAACATTTATGCCAAAGTGTTTTGTAGAGCTGCATAAAGCGCTCATTGTTCCAGCTTTGTTCATTTAATTTTTCTGTCCATTTGTTCTGCTGCTCTCACTATGTATAAATCAAGGGCTTTTCCAATGTTTCATTAACGGTAATCCAAAGTACTATTAAATTATTAATAGTCCTTTACTTAATTGTCATTCATGTGTTAATATTTTAAAAATATGTTTAGAATAGATTTTCATTTGCTTAATTGTTTTTTTTAAAGGGGAGCTGAATATTTTAAAAAATTAAGTTAAATATTAAGAGTAGGCTACTTTCTAAACTACTAATATACTAATAATAAATTGTGTACACATTTTTAAAATCAAAATAGAGTGCAAACCAGGCAACAGAATTTGTTTCAAAATGTGTCTTTGTTTACACTTTAGCTCATGGAGATTGTATAGTTTTTTAAAAAGCATGTAACTTATGCAATAATTAGCCAGATGTTTCATTACCAACATAACTGCTGAATTACCTTTAAAGAAAATCTATGTCAAATAATATACTTGCAAATACTCTGAAATAACTTTTCTTTGTACCAGTTTGAGAGAAATCAATTGCCAGTATTAAAATAAAATCTGTAAACCATTTTACTAACCTTATAGACGTGTTCTGCATGACTCAATATGTCCCAGTGTATGTTCTGACCTGTAAGTGATACAAGCAAACCAAGATTTGTTATTTTAGTCGAGGATTAGTCACATTAGACGTTATTTTAGTCGAGGATTAGTCACATTAGACATTTTACTGACTGTTCAGAAAAGGTTACTTTGCTGAATGTTTATATTCAATACTACAGTTTATAGTTAATAGCCTTGTAGTAAGTGGAAGCTAAAAAGTTAATTACCTAGTAAATAATTAGCAGTTTTTCCGTGACCAAATAGGTTTTTTTTAACTCATTAATGTTATAACAATATTTTTCTAAAATGAATTTAGCTTTTTCATTGTATTCACCACTTGACTTCTTCATGCAATAACGTTTTGTAAAAGAATTTTTTTAACCATTTTATACTACTATTATATTAAGTCACTATTTTTTTATGTGTGCCCCTATAAGCATTTGAACATCTGTTTTTAAAGTTTTAACTAACAAATATTTATTTAATGTTTTGCCTTTGAAGGGTTTTGTATTTATTGTGTATCTATGTAGGTATAGAATGAAATTATTTATATTAAATGGAGAATTGACTTACAAGGCTTTAAATATAATGTATAAATGTTTGTGAAGTTTGTATTTTCAGTGTATCCCTATTTTCCTTAATTATTCAAGTGCTATTATATTAAAAAACATGTGGACAGTAATCTAATTTTTTTAAAGAAAAATTTTCCACCTGCATAAATATGATGTTTAATCTTTGCTCTGAATAATATTTTACCAATATTGTTATTACTTTTTGTTTTATTAAATTTGATGGATTTAAATTAAAATATTTTAAACAAATGTTTTAGATTTTTCAAATTAATGATTAGAAGTAACTGTATAGTAATTATTACTTATTTCCAAAAATTCATATCTTTATTTCTCTTTCAGACAGAAGCAGCATTAGTGGTTGATGCGTTTAAACTGTTTGTTCATGCTATGAAATCACTTAGCAATGCCCAGGATGTAACAACAGTCAGCCTATCATGTGACAAAGTGCAAACATGGCAATATGGCAATAGTTTACTCAATTACATGAAAGCTGTGAGTACTCAATTACATGAAAGCTGTGAGATATTTTTTTTTTTCTTAATTTTTTTTTTTTGGGACGGAGTAGTCTAGCGGTAGAGAGCGGGACTGCTAACCTGTAAGTCATGAGTTTGAATCCGGGTTCAAGTCAGTAGACCATCCCTGAGTCCACCCAACTCACGTTAGGGAAAGTAAAGGCGGCTGGGCATAGTGCTGACCACACTATCTCTTCAAATGCAGAGGTCACAGAAACAAGTGAACTCTACTTCACTTGCCTTATATACCGTCAGGTTTGAAAGGGGAATCATATTGATTGTTTACTTTTATGAAATGAAATAGATTCAATAAGCTAATTAGACTAGAACATCATATTGCTTTACACCTATTAAATATTTTATAATAATATTTATCAGAGTAATATAATTTTTAAACCTGTTTGCAATACTTTGAAAGACAAGACATAAGGATATATATTTTTTGATAAATCAGTAAATGAGTATGTTCACACATCTGTCTATCAAATCAGACCAAATTTGAAGGCCTATCAGGAACAGTCAAGTATGATGACGGAGAGAGAAAAGACTTTAGTCTTGATCTAGTCTATCTCACCAGCAATGGACTTATCAAGGTATGGAAACTGGGAAATATTTCTTACACTCTGTTGTATGAAATCAGAGATATATTTCATACATTATGTACCATGAAATCAGGGCAAATACGTCCTACATTCTGTTGTGTAATATCTTAGAAATATATTCTACATTCTTAACAAAAAATTTTTAACAATATACATAAAGAATAAAGAACTTAGGTGAGGCTTCGTCTAAATTTGTTTTTGTGCAGTGCCTTTATTCTAGAACGTTAAAAAGCTAGCTGCAGGGCATATGCCTGTCATTGCTTTCTTTACCTTATGACTGAAACATAGAAGGTAAAAGCAAAAAACATGTGGTAAATCAAGACATTCTGAATAAAATAAACGTAAATCATGACATTCCGAATTCTGAATAAAATAAACATAAATCATGACATTCTGAATAAAATAAATGTAAATCATGACATTCTGAATTCTGAATAAAATAAACGTAAATCATGACATTCTGAATAAAATAAATGTAAATCATGACATTCTGAATAAAATAAACGCAAATCATGACATTCTGAATAAAATAAACGCAAATCATGACATTCTGAATAAAATAAACGCAAATCATGACATTCTGAATAAAATAAACGTAAATCATGACATTCTGAATAAAATAAACGTAAATCATGACATTCTGAATAAAATAAACGTAAATCGTGACATTCTGAATAAAATAAATGTAAATCATGACATTCTGAATAAAATAAACGTAAATCATGACATTCTGAATAAAATAAATGTAAATCATGACATTCTGAATAAAATAAACGTAAATCATGACATTCTGAATAAAATAAACGCAAATCATGACATTCTGAATAAAATAAACGTAAATCATGACATTCTGAATAAAATAAACGTAAATCATGACATTCTGAATAAAATAAACGTAAATCATGACATTCTGATTAAAATAAACGTAAATCATGACATTCTGAATAAAATAAACGTAAATCATGACATTCTGAATAAAATAAACGTAAATCATGACATTCTGATTAAAATAAACGTAAATCATGACATTCTGCTCTCTCTCTGACTGACAGGCTGGTAAATGGGACAGCAAAATTGGCCTGAACTTCACACTGGAACGTGCTATACCCAAAGAAATTGTGCCCAAGAACAAAGTGTATACTGTGGTCACCAAACTGGTTTGTAGGAGCTCTTCAGCTTTAATTAAAACACTCGCTATTATAAACTTCACTATATCAAAGACTTATAAAAGTTTATAGCCTTCACAATAACAAAGTTGTTATTAATATTTTAAAAAAATGAACATAAATTTTTAATCAAATAGCAGCATACAATGTGTGTAATAAATTTCTTGTATTAAACCTTCCAGCGTGACCCTTATGTGTTAGTCAATGCCTCTGCCCCCTCAGGCTATGCAGGCTTCTGTGTTGATTTGTTAAGTATCATAGCTAAGGCCAAGAATTTCACGTTCACGATAGTGCCACTGACTGCAGTAGGCTCGGCCAGCACAAACTGGACTGGTGTTATGGGACAATTGATGAACAGGGTAAGTTGCTCTCAAAGTCTTTACTTTCTTCTCTTTTAATTTATAGACCTGCAGTTCCTTCTTTTGTATGTTTAATAACTAATTATCCAAATCAATAAACTGTAATTTTGTTTTACTTATTTTTTAACATATTTGACAAATTAAGTTGTTAAAAATCTCTCTTTCTATATAACAATTTGTTTGAAATTTGTATATAAATTCAATTTTATCTTGTGATTTCCTTTGACAATCATGGTCAGCCATATAGTTTTTAGTTAATGATTGTTATTTCTATTTCACACAGGAAGCAGATATAGGCATAGGAGATCTGACAATCAACTTACAGAGAGAGAAAGTTGTTGATTTCACAAAGCCATTTTTAACATTAGGTATCACCATTCTGTACAAGAAGCCGGCGCCCAAGACTTTAAATCTGTTTTCTTTTTTATCTCCATTATCACTTGATGTAAGTAATTTATGGCTTCTTTTGAAAGGTTTTACTTAATATATTCCTTGGAATTTCAAGCAGATTTATTTCAGTTTTGGATGAGCTGGATATTTGGTTCTGCCCTAGTCAACGAAAGACCTGTCCATAATCACAATGTTCCCTCCCTGGCCACTCCTAGATCTGCCTTGGCCATCCCTAGATCTGCCCATGATCACAATGTTACCTCCCTGGCCACCCAAAGATCTGCCCATGATCACAATGTTACCTCCCTGGCCTAGATCTGCCCATGATCACAATGTTACCTCCCTGGCCACCCAAAGATCTGCCCATGATCACAATGTTACCTCCGTGGCCACCCAAAGATCTGCCCATGATCACAATGTTACCTCCCTGGCCTAGATCTGTCCATGATCACAATGTTACCTCCTGGCCACCCAAAGATCTGCCCATGATCACAATGTTACCTCCTGGCCACCCAAAGATCTGCCCATGATCACAATAATACCTCCCTGGCCACCCAAAGATCTGTCCATGATCACAATGTTACCTCCTGGCCTAGATCTGTCCATGATCACAATGTTACCTCCTGGCCACCCAAAGATCTGCCCATGATCACAATGTTACCTCCTGGCCACCCAAAGATCTGCCCATGATCACAATGTTACCTCCCTGGCCACCCAAAGATGCATGATTGTACATGATTGCATCCAGCTATTGTATTTCAGGTCTGGGTGTACATGATTGCAGCCTACTTGTGTGTCAGCTTCATGCTGTTCGTCATTGCCCGGTTCAGTCCGTATGAGTGGTGCAACCCCCACCCCTGCAACCCTGACACTGACGAGGTGGAGAACCAGTTCACTGTCATGAACAGTTTGTGGTTTACCATTGGCTCTCTCATGCAGCAAGGTACAGTACTTTACAACCTGAGTAATTATTAGAAAGTAAAAACCATGTTTACAGTTTTGCTGTACAACAAATGTAGTATGGTATATTTGACAACACATGAATATTATTTTAGTAAAAGGACTGTGCACAAGGAATGATATTATTCCCAAAAAATCTTGGTTCACTAGTTTGATATTTATTCAACATCTTCATACAACAACTAGCACTCTAAAGACCTTTCATAAGTTGATGTCATCATGTGAATGAACATGACACAGATATTGTTGCACACAAAGTTTTGAGTATACACTTAGACATGGTCTACAAATAAACAGTCCCAGATAACTTGAGTTGACTGTGGGAGTTGTGATCTAGATATGTACAAAATATATTGTGTCAGTGATATGAGATGTTGGCAGTCCGGCTTTTCATGTGTTGATTTAAGCCTGTGGTTAAACATAATTTTAAAAAAATATCTCAGTTATTTAAGGATTAACTTATGTTTGCAGATATTTGAACAGTACTTTTTTTACACATTAAATATTACTGTTTCATGTTAAATCTATATTAAAAATATTTATAAATGTAGACCTATATTTCTGTACGATGGAAGTTAACTGATATCAGTTATAGACGTATATTTCTGTATATTGCACCATGTATGTTTGCTGTGTTTCAGGCTGTGAGATAGCACCAAGAGCGCTATCAACCAGGCTGGTGGCAGGCATGTGGTGGTTCTTTACCCTCATCATGATCTCCTCCTACACCGCCAACCTGGCAGCTTTTCTCACCGTGGAGCGGATGGTCTCAGACATCAACAGTGCTGAAGACTTGGCCAAACAAACCAAAGTGAAATATGGGACTCCAGCTGGGGGTGCCACGCAAGACTTCTTCAGAGTTTGTTTATTCTGTTTACTATCAATTTTAACTAAGTAGTCCATTACACACAGGTATATTGTTTTAGTGTATACAGTTTTAGAGAGTTAAAAGTTTTATGTTTTCCAAATTTTTAAACTGTTTAAAGCAGTTATACAGAGAATATTCAGGTGAAATTGTTCTGTTTTAGCTCAACAAGTTAGCTCTTTATTCATATGAAATTGTTCTGTGTTTTAGCTCAACAAGTTAGCCCTTTATTCAGGTGAAACTGTTCTGTGTTTTAGCTCAACAAGTTAGCCCTTTACTCAGGAATGTGGGAGTTCATGAACAGAACGCCAGATGTTTTTATGGTGGATGAAAAAGCTGCAGTGGAAAAAATTAAGAAAGGAGATTATGCCTACATAACGGAATCAACTACTGTTGATTACTTGGTGGAAAGGTAGAAGTGTTGTCATGGCTTTTAAAATTGTTCATGCTTTCTGTATTTCTTTTTGTCTATAAAAATAAGGTTATGAGTAATTAGGTTTTTTTTTAGTACAATTTTTAAATTTGTTAATTTAGTAAATCAGCATTCATGAGTATATTAAAATTGTTAATGCTATAAAAGTTTTATCATGTTCTGTTAAAATGAGAGATATTTTAATATTTAAAGATTAAATATTTTATTTCAGAAATTGTGATTTTATGAAAGTTGGTGGGCTTTTAGATTCTAAGGGTTATGGTTTTGCTACACCTCAAGGTAAAGTGTCAACTAAATCTCTTTTGCCTGCAGCTACAGTTATTGTTTATATTTTACACTGTCCATTCATCTGCCAAAATTGCTGTCTGACACAAGTTTGTATGTGTTGATTAGGTTCACCATTGCGAGAGATGTTGACAGAAGAAATTTTAAGGCTGAAAGAAGACCAGACAATTGATGAACTGGTTACTAAATGGTGGAAGAAAGAGCTAGGGGGAGGTAAATGTGAGGCAGAAAAAACAACGTCATCTGGAAGTGCAGCTGAGCTGGGTGTAGAAAATGTAGGAGGTGTGTTTGTCGTGTTGACTGGCGGAGTTATTGTTGGATTTTTCGTTTCACTTTGTGAATTTATTTGGAAAGCAAGAAAAAATGCTAAAAAAGACAAGGTGGGTAAATTATAGTTACAACATTCCATTTTTGATAATCTATATATATCAAATGTTCCTTTTTGTTTTGATATTAAAACAATTTAATTATCATTTTTTTTAGAAATACAGTTATTTTTTAATACCTTAGTGTGGTATGAAACAGCTTGATTTCCAAATAAAAGTATACATTTTCAATTTTTTTTTAGCAAACCTTGTGCTCTGAAATATCAGAAGAATTTAGATTTGCTGTTCGATGTTTTGGCTCCAAAAAGTCCAAACAGAAAAATGAAGATGAGATAACTGACAATGGATTGCAATTTATGCCTCTCACAGGATATGGCCAACGGTCGGATGGAAAAGAGGTTTATGCATAACCAGTGCTTTATAATAGTTGAATATCAACTTTACTTGCATTTCTAGTTGTAAATTCATTCAGCATTTAGTTCAGTTTTTTTTTCTTGTTTTTTTTTTTTTTTTACAATTTGATAGAAACATTTTAATAAAATGAATTGTACATTTTTTTAAAGAGCAAAATAAGCTGAAGCAGGTATGTGTAATTAACTGGCATTTACCAATCTTGAAATCATAATGCACTATTCTTTAAAAAGCCTTATGTTAAAAATAGTGCCTGATTGTATTATTTAACACCCAGTTCTCCTTACATCAGAGCAGTGAGACAATAAAATATTCTGTTTAGATAATGAATTCAGTCTACTGAATTTATTAAGTAAGATTAATAGTGCTAACGTTCACAATTAATTCATCACCATTTTGTGTAACCAAAATAAAAAAATTATTGGAATATTTGTATAATTATTAAGGCATTTGTTAACATTTATAAAGTGTCCAAATTTAAGGGGGATTACATGATTAAGTTGCTATGAACAAATTGAAAATTCTGCATAAGAAAAAAGAACAAGGGGAAATTTATGTTATGCCACACGTTTTATTTTTTTTATTGCTGCACATGTACAGTGTAAAATTTTTTTTTTACAGATTTCAATTTTCTTTGTTGGAAGTTGACAAAATAATAGCTATCTAGCATTTCCCATTTAATTAAATTGTCGGACCCAGAACAGAAACTTTTATTTGTAAAATAAAAAATCCACTGTAATCTATAAATGGTTATGCAAAGAAGACAGACACCATGCTGACAGTCTAAAATATTACAAAGTTAAATTGTGAAGAAATAACTGTTCAATTTTTGTAAATGAAGAAAAACAATTTTCCCAAGCTGCAATCCTCCTCACTAAGTGTACAAATTATTGTAACATAATAACTTTCATTCACTTGTTTTTGTTGTTCATTTTTGTATCATTTTCATTTCAAATTATATTTTACAAAAACAATTTTTTTGTATTGATTAACTTTTAATTTTTTAAACAGTCTGAGTTTGGTTTATTTTAATCTAATACAAAAAATGCATTTAAAATGTTTAAAAAATAGTAAGATAAAATTTTTCTGTAAAGTTTAAACTGTTCTTGTAAATAAGGCAGCATTGAACTGAATTTAATTAAATCGCAAACTCTTTAATCAGCTATTTTTAAATCTTGCGAAATGTAGATATATGTTCTGAATACAAATAAATTGGATTTAATATTTTAGAAGCCTCAAAAATGTTTCTTTAGTCTTGTTTTTTTTTGTACTCTAAAATTATTACTATTAAAAGAGTTTTAAATTCCTTTTAAAATATCTCAATACTTAAGCTAAAATTAGTTAAAAAGTTAGTTTTATATAAAATCCATTTCTTTCATTTCTGTGAGTGTGATTATAATTTTTAAAAATCCATGAATGCACTGTTCAGTGCAGCTGACAGGAGTGTGTACAGTATTATAAAAACAAATGTTAAAACATGATGTGTAAAAATATGTAGGTTGTGTATTGTATATATTTGATTTTATCACATGTAGTACATTTTAAAATGTCGAAGGCACATTTTAGCCATGGATATTCAAATAATAATGTCAAGATACACTTTTTAAATTTTAAGTTTAGAGTTTCTTGTTACTTTGATCAATAAATAAAAAATTCCAAAATCAATTTAAAAATGCTTGTACTGCTAGGCCAATATAAATTTTGATCTACTTTGTGTATAACATTGTATACAGAGACCAAATTAATGTCAATCAAAATTACATCCATTTTAATATCAAATCAATATTTTGTGCCTTATCTGGTTCAGCACTGTGATTTTTAAAAAAACTAATGAAATTGTTTTCAGATGGTGGCATATGTTGAAATGTAAATCATTTATGAGATATTTATTATCTCAAAAGTACTTGCCAAATTGTTCGAGTAATATAATATGTAAATGTATATAAATACTAAACTTTATATCATTGACTGAATTTCACATTCTCTATGTTTAATATTTAATTGTTTGTTTCATTTCATCAAAAGATTACAATAGGTGATTCATTCAATAATAAGATATTTTTAATTCAAACATTTCGAATGCAATTACATATATTTATAATCTAGAAAGTTTTCTTGATTGTGTAACATTTGCATTCCTCAGGATAGATTTGTAAAAATGGATTGATTAACAGACTGACTTGTTAATTTGAATGGACATTTTTTTATAAGATTTACACCTTTTTATTAAGAAGTAGAAGTTGTAAAATAACATATTTATTGACTTCTTTTCCCCATATATTATCCTTTCATATCAATTTTCTCTTTCATCATGTAAGATTATTTATTAGCACCTTGTGTGCAATATGTTTGAACAATTATTAATCTAGTTTTCTCCTTTTAAATGTTGTCAGAATTTTATATACACCAAGACTGTTCAACTTTTTAAAATCTGCCAGAACTTGCTAATTCTATTAAAAAATTCTTCCTATAAAGTTTTTTCTTAATTAGTCTCTAGAATTTCTAAGTCATCACACATCACTGATGATATTTTGTGCAATCATACAAATCTTAGCATCCGCTTTTAATACTTAAGCATACTAATTATTTCATGATACCTTCTTGTCATTTTTAGATCACTAGTTTATTAAAAAAGAGAATCCATTTTTTAAAAAAAAGTTGTGTTTAAAACGAGCAAAGACAAACATTAAACTAAATTGTCTAAAAAATGTTCCTGAGCAAAGATAATTCACCACGAACACAGAGCCTTCTAGTAATTAAAAGGGACTTGCCTACGTTTCATTCATTTGTTTGCTTTACTAATATTGTTCTCTCACACATTCTTATTGTTTTCATAAAGTGTGAAAAAAGCTTAAATTGTTAAATGCTGTTTGAGACAAATTCAATTGAATTTCTAGCTGAGCATTGCAGTTTAAATATTGTCTTTGTCAAAGTCAACACAGAAATTTGGATCTTCATTGGTGAAGATTTTCAATTTGTAGTGCATTCACTCTGGTGTTTGAAACTTCTGAAAACTAGACACAATATTCAATATTTAACTTTTGACATATTATTATTGCATAGAGAATCTGACAAATTTGATAACATTTAGTGCATACTACATTTTTAGTGATGTTCCTTTACAAATTTTGTAATACATAGTAAATAGACATTGTAAAGCTTTAAATAATGCTCTTTTAATGAATATTTTAAATGTATACTTAGATTATACTGTAGACATTTTTTTCAAACAGTTTTGACAATATTTGACTAAAAACCTAATTTGCAAGTAGCTATGGAATAATTTACACATCAATCATGTATCATCAGAATGATTTTTTTTTTACTTTTTATCCATGGCAATAAACTTGCACTCATTGATTAAACAAAACTTTTGGTTGTTACTTTATCAATAATTACCACAGGCAATAAGGTTAAAATTATTGAAATTGGGGTGTTACTTTATCAATAATTACCACAAGCAATTAGGTTAAAATAATTGAAATTGGGGTGTTACTTTATCAATAACTACCACAAGCAATTAGGTTAAAATAATTAAACTTTTGGCTGTTACTTTATCAATAATTACCACAAGCTATTAGGTTAAAATAATTAAAATTTTGGCTGTTACTTATCAATAATTACCACAAGCAATTAGGTTAAAATAATTAAACTTTTGGCTGTTACTTTATCAATAATTACCACAAGCAATTAAGTTAAAATTATTGAAATTGGGGTGTTACTTTATCAATAATTACCACAAGCAATTAGGTTAAAATAATTGAAATTGGGGTGTTACTTTATCAATAATTACCACAAGCAATTAGGTTAAAATAATTGAAATTGGGGTGTTACTTTATCAATAACTACCACAAGCTATTAGGTTAAAATAATTGAAATTGGGGTGTTACTTTATCAATAATTACCACAAGCAATTAGGTTAAAATAATTGAAATTGGGGTGTTACTTTATCAATAACTACCACAAGCTATTAGGTTAAAATAATTAAAATCTTGGGTGATACTTTATCAATAATTAGTTACTAAATTTACTTTATTAATGAAACAGCAATAGAAATAAAGAGCAAAACAATGTTTTAGTATTGTGTAACATTTTTATTTCATCATATGCAATGTAAAAACAAATCTATATATTTAAATTTAAACATTCTGATATTATTGAATAAAATGAAGTGGAATATCAAACAATAAAATAAACTTCACAATCACATATTTATATTAATTTAGAAATAAAGCATTATTTGAATAATTTAATTTATTATAAAATACCAGATATGAATATGTTCATGAGTATATTTCTGCTTCCAACTTTTTACTTTGACTTTTATAAAAGCAATGGTCATTATCTTAACAAAACAAACCTTATTGTGCATCAAATACAACAACTAAAACAGAGATGATAAAATTCAATCATCATTCAGGTTTTCTAATAAAAGAGTAAAATCCTATTACAAAAATAGCTGATTTAGTTTGGATAGTTGGATCAAGAATGAAATTATGAGGAAAATAATAGTGGTGCAAGAAGTTATCATACCATATAAAAAAAGTTCCTGGTAAAGAAAGTTTTTTAAGTGGAAATATTTCGACAAAAACATTTTGTACTATTAAGTCAGGACACTAAGCACACTAAAATTATTATTTCAAATAATATATTGTGCATTCAAAAGTTTGCCTTTCATATCAGTTTATTTTATCGGCCCAAAGTTAGAAAGGTATGACGGCTTATTTACTGTATCATAGACAGAGATATTTACTTAGAGTTTTTAAAACTATAAATACGTCTTGTTAGTAGTTATATGGTATAAAATTTAAAACTTTTTATGCATAATTAACTGTTAAATTTTATATTTAAAAAAAGTTTATAATTGAAACTTTAATAAGCAATAATGTGTAGCACAGGTATGGTCACTCAATTCTTGCAGCTAGTGTATACATACACACACACACATACATACACACACACCCATAGATAGAGGGATTAGCAATACATACATGTATGTATGTGTGTCTCTAGTTTAGTATGTAAAGGATATTTAGACAACAGAAGAAAAATAATTAACAAATAAAAGTGAAGTTTACATGACATAGAGCTGGCGGAGGCTAACACAATTTGTATGATAACAGTCATCTACATAAGTTATAGATAACAGTCATCTACATAAGTTATAGATAACAGTCATCTACATAAGTTATAGATAACAGTCATCTACATAAGTTATAGATAACAGTCATCTACATAAGTTATAGATAACAGTCATCTACATAAATTATAGATAACAGTCATCTACATAAGTTATAGATAACAGTCATCTACATAAATTATAAATAACAGTCATCAACATAAATTATAAAGTTAAGAGTACCACTTAAAGATTTGGTTTTTTTTTGGGAATATAACATTCATATGTGGACCAACTATTACTAATTTATATAGAATAAATAGATAACACAAATAGCCAGAAATGTTTTGGTGATATAAATTAATTATTCATATTGTCTACCATCTCTGTTAACATATGTCACAGTTACATACAGCACATAAGAGTAACAATCTTTGAAAAAAATAATTCAAGGCTAATATTTAATACCCATGTACATAGGAAATATTGCCATTCTTCAAAAAGTGTCCACCTTTAATAAATAATATATTAATTTCAATAAAAAAATTACATCTGAATATTCTTTCTAGTTAGGGCATGTAGAAAAATATGTTATAATTCTTATCATTTAAGATAGCAAAATATTTTTTACATGGAGTTTATAGGACACGCTGGTTTCATGTACACAGTGTTAAACAATGGTGTCTTAAACACAAGTTTGGGGAGTAGTGTTTAAACACAAGTTTGGGCAGTAGTGTTTAAACACAACATTGGGGATGGGAAATTAAAAACTTAAAGCTAACATCTTATTGGTGCAATATTTAACAACTCGAATAAAATTAGACAAGAAAATTGGTTAAAGTTGATCAAGTAAATCGTGAAGAGATCCAATGGAGTAATCAAACACAAAATGTGAAAAATGTAATTCAATGGATTCCATACATTAATTAGCAGTAAATTAAATTAATTATCTAACATTAATGTCACAGAGTCAATAATAACAAAACAATTACAAACAGCCATTAAAAATTGGTTGGAATATTTAGCTTGTCTGATTTTAATTTATGTAATATATACAGATGTCATAAGATGAAATAAATCAACGTGTGTTTTACTGTAGTAACAAGAGACCACAGATGGCTCTCAACTGCCATTTTCCTTGTTTTTTAAAATGTTGGATTCAACCAAGTCCAAAGGTTATGTTGTGTTACCAAAATGGTTTCAGAGTGTCAGAGTGGGTAATTGTCTTTATGTGGATTTTTTAAGATCATTTCTAAAAAACAAATTTAGTTTACACGTTTTTAAATTTGGCAAATAATTTTGGCCAGTCTAAGGTTAGGGCAAAATAAATTTATGTCTACAGAGCCCTGTTTTCTGAAGTTCATGAATGATGTCATGCTTTTTTTGACAATGTCTTCAAAAATCATTCTCTCACACCAAAAAATGGCTTCATAACGCAGCATCCACCCACCGCACCCCCACCCCCCCCATAGTAGTTTATTAAACTTCTATTTCTTTCTAAAAAAATTGAGCTCGATTGAACAAAGTTTGCATTTTATGAATCAATTTCTATTACAATTTACAAAAACAGTCATTTTAAAACGTGAAATACTGGAGAGATGCCTTAAAGAAACTCTGTGCAGGTAAAAAAAATAAAAATAATTTCCTATAGATTTGTTGTAGTCCTATTATGTATTATTTTATTGATTAAATAATAAATATATGTGATTGAAATAAAATAGAGGCCTATCATACAAAAATGCATGTACAACGGCAACCAAGTTAAACCACAATAAGAGTTTTTTTTTTAAACTTTACGATAAGCTTTTAAGTGCACTGAAAATAAAGGTAATTTTCTTTGTTCAACAAAAGCTTTGATTGCCCATGAGATCATTTACATATTTTAGCGATAAAAGATTTTATTAAAGAAAGGAAATTAGTTTTATTTTCTAATTTTTCCTTAAATTTAAAAGCTTTTAATTATTTTTGAATTTTATTTTTTGTTTTATTATCTGCTTTTTTGTAATTCATAATTTTTTAATTCGACACTACATACATAGGCTACAATCTATATATATATATATATATAATTCTCTTCTTGGAGACGCTAGAAAACAAGCTGTAAGCGTGCTCCCTACCAGGGGCGTAGCGAGGTGGGGGGGGGGGGGGGGGCGGGGGTGCGGACCGCACCGGGTGACACCATTTAGGGGGGTGACACCAAGGCAAAAAATAGCAAAATATATAGAGAAAAACTCGAGGGGGGTGCAAATCGAAACTTTGAGGGGGGAGGGGGTGGAAATCGAAAACTTGAGGGGGGGGGGTGCAAATCGAAAGTTTGAGGAGGGGGGGGGGGTGCAAATCGAAAATTTGAAAGTTTGTCCCTGGGAAGGGTCTCTATCCCTCTGGGGGGGGGTGACACCATTAAGTGCCGCACCGGGTGACACCCGACCTCGCTACGCCACTGCTCCCTACCACCCCACACGTTCTGGTGAGCTGTGGTTCACGCAAATTTTTACATTCGTGGAGCCGGGTTTAGTGACGGCTATTAGGGGCAGATAATTTACTTTGAAACGATTTTAAACTTAGGGAAGGTAAATAAGAGGAGGCTGCTTTCACGGGGGGGGGGGGGGGTGTAGGGTAGGGGTTGGGGTTGGGGGAAAGGAGGGTGGGGGTAGTATCGTCCTTAACGACCTACTGATATTGTTATAAAGCAAATATTTTCAGTGGCAGCATTGGTACTGTCGAATTCACAAATTATGAATTACTGAAAAGTAGAAAATAAAACAACTAAATAGCGGCGTATGATACACCGCGGGTCGGCTCGTTAAAAATATTTGTTTAAAAACACAACCTGTAGCTTGTCATCTCTAAAAGTCTATTATCTGCTCCTTCTCAATGGCCGTTCACAGGTGTCAAAACAATCAACCGTGACCAACAGTTCACCGTCAACGGCTCGCTGATCCAGTGATCACTAATACTTAATCTTGTTGTCTCCTATTTGTTTCAAAATCATTTAATCAAATTTTAATAACTAACTCAATCTCTTTAAGTTACAAATTATATATGCTTGCATTGTTATCGAAGAATAAGGTATCTGGAAATTATGCATCAGAAAAGATCAAAACTGAGTTACAAGATTTGCTACAAATCCATCAAATGCGTGAACTAAGCTTGTAAAAACACAGGTGTGCTTAGCTGAAGGGGTCGTCCATAAATGACGTTACACTCGTAGGAGGGAAGTGGGGTCTGTAATTTTGTGACGGTGTGTGATGAGGGGAGGGGGGGGGGGGTGTTCAGATGGTGTAACGTCACACTTTTGCATTTTAAAAAAAGCAATGTTAGAAAACGAGTATTAGCTGTTTTTCGCGTTTTAGAAAACGATTTTAATAAATTGTAAAAGGAATTGATCAAAATACTCTATCTTGACATAGTTCAGACGAGAGTTTGGAAAAATATCGATGTTTTAAGAAAAAATCAACAGCAATTTTGAGGGGTGGGGGGGGGGGGGGTTGTAGGCTGAGGTGTGATGTCATTTTAGGGGGGGGGGGAGGCTGGTTTTTTTTTATGATGTGTGACGGAGGGGAAGGGCGAGGTAAAGATAACTGTCTTTTGGAGGAACTGATCGGCCTTGAAAGAAAATGTGTTGATGTATGGTGATGGTGTGTCGATTTAATTAATAACACAATTGAAGGAATAAAGATAAGCCTAAGCTTATATATATACAACATTAAAATACTAAAAACTACTTTTTTTAAGAATACTTTTTTAAAAAATACTTTTTAGATGAACTAAAAAAAAAAGTAAGTAGGATTAGGCCATAAAATTTCGTTTCGTTTTTTTGTGTTGTTGTTTTTAGCAAAATACAAGTGCTGGTCGCAAAATGTATTGGAAAGAACTCTGGGGCGCTTGTCTTTTGAATTTTAACATTAAATATTATACCACAAGTGCTGTCGATTGATGCGTTAAAAGTTTGTTCTATAACGTGTTTCTAAATGGTTGTGTTATTTTATTTCATTTTTAAAGAATGTTTAAGACTATCTTACAAATAATAAAAATATTTGATACTATTATTAACTAGCTGTATAATTATGGGATATTAGTATGTGCTTAAAAATGTAAACACTTTAATATGTAGAAGCAATGTCTAACCAGCTATTTTAAAAACAAAGATTGGATTATTGTCCAAAACAATTTAGTCGGTTATTTCCCCTGATCTATGTTTTTTATCATCTTATTTTTAGTATGCTACGGCTTATACTGCCCTATTCTCCGACTGATTTAACTAAGTATGTAATATTTTCAGTTGACTAAGACCATTAATCTTCGATATTAGGCAAACTTGGTGTTTGAACGATTCATTCAACAGTCAAGACTTTAGCCCTAATATAATTTTTTCACTATATCGTGTATCAGATCTGCAACAAAAGGGAGACAATGCATATAAATATCACAATGTAGCACTGAGCATAATGTTCAAAATCGCCAAATAATGTTCTTTAGAATTACTACTATGATAGATAAAAAGAATAGAACAAATAAGTTGTGTTGTTTGTGTTAAAATAGAAATAAAAAATAGTTTTACGAGAAGGTAAACCATATTTTAAAAATATTAAAGATTGAAAATTTTCTTGTGCAAAGTTTATTCTTTCCCAGATAACTTTATTTGCAATTATAAGGCTATGCTGTGTGATCTTTGTCTACCAAATATCGAATCTTCAGGGCTTTTGTCTTATTTAAAAATGTTTGTAGGTTTGTGAGTTTGTAGGTTTGTGTGTATGTATAACTTATTATACGGTTAATTTATTATTATACTTATTATTTTTCTACAGTTTTTTTTTGCATAGAAACGTTCTGTAAGTGAAAACACGGTGCAAGAAATTTAAAAATGTAATTTTATAATAATTCGAATAGTATTTGATGTGATGTGTATTTCCTACTATAGATACTCCTTAAACTTGCATGGCATTAGCTGTGATGTGCGCTTCCCACTGTTGATGTTGATTAAAACGGCATGATATTTGCAAGCCCTGGCCAAAGAGGGGCGGTATCGTCACGTGATTATATAAACCAATGATTTAGGGCATATTTTTGGAAAACAGGTTTCTATTCGTAGCCACGGAAGCTTGCTGTGCAAATGAAACTCCTGGATTTAAAAAAGGACGTTAAGGATAATGATGGCATTCCCGTAATTGAATGATGTAAAATGTGCACATTTCCTCATGTTCAATTACTTGCGAATGAAAGATGGGATAGTTGCATTTCATTTTTTATGTCGCCATGGGCGTGTGGGAAACAGGGGGAGTTAGGGGCCTTGAATAGACCCCCTACCCCCTCCCCTATCCACTGGTTCTGCACAAAACGGCATATCTAGTTCACCCTGCAGAATAAGACAGCTAATTATAGCTGCATGTTCCCAGATGTCGTATGCTTGATTTCTGTTTGTCGTCGGGTCGGTTTAGGTACCAGTAAATTGACTTCACCAGTGACTACTCCACATCTTGTATTTTAGACATGGATGGAGGCTGTATCAGCCTTAGATGCCACAAAGATCTGGTCTACAGGATGCTGGAAGATCTACTTGACTAGATATTCCAATGATCTAATCACCTTAACAGCATGCCCCAAAGATCTTGTCTTCTTGACAACATGCCCCAAAGATCTACTTGACAAGATACCCCGCTGGAAAAATAAATGTTTCTAGCAGCTTTCCGAAGAGTTAGTTTGATAGAGGGATGCATACAATAATGTTGTGCAGGGGTGAAGGTCAACGGTGAAGTGATGAGGGTGAAGGTCAGACTTCGTTGTCGCTGTAGTCGACGTGCTGGTAGTCGCCGTTGAAGTCCCGCGTGTGCGTGACGTCAGCCCTGAACTCTGTCTCGACACGCCGACCTGCGGAGCGGGTGGATGAAGGCACTGAAGATGGAGCCTTGTGGGCTCGCAGCTGGATGACGCCGTTGGGGGACTCGGGCCCGATTTCCTGGGGGAGAGACAAGTTTCAACAGCTGGCTGGGGTGGGGACATTCAACAGCTGGCTGGGGTGGGGACATTCAAAACTTTTTGGCTTTAAGGTTTACTGGGGGGAGAGACAAGTTTCAACAGCTGGCTGGGGTGGGGACATTCAAAACTTTTTTGATTTAACGGTTTACTAAATCTCTTTTACAAGAAATTATATTATTCTATATAAAATCTTCATTTGAATATGTATGTGTGGCTAGTTGTTTAAAACGACTTACCTGAATGTGTGGCTAGTTGTTTAAAACAACTTACTTGTATGTGTGGGTAGTTGTTTAAAATGACTTACCTGTATGTGTAGGTAGTTGTTTAAAACGACTTACCTGAATGTGTGGCTAGTTGTTTAAAACGACTTACCTGTATGTGTAGGTAGTTGTTTAAAACGACTTACTTGTATGTGCGGATAGTTGTTTAACATGACTTACCTGTATATGGTGGGCGTGGCTGCTGTGGGCCTTGCCGTCCCTACAGTCCTGACATCGACTCTTGTGTAAAACAACTTACCTGTATGTGGTGGGCGTGGCTGCTGTGAGCCTTGCCGTCCCTACAGTCCTGACATCGACTCTTGAACTTGTTCTTTGGTCGCTTGGAAGCTCCACTGCAGCGGATGGCGAATCGTAGCTCCTGGGCCATTTCTGTGCATAGTGATTCCTGCAAGACAGAAACGGTTGGCTTAAGTCTTACATAGATTCCTGCATGACAGAAATGATTGGCTTAAGTCTTACATAGATTCCTGCAAGACAGAAATGGTTGGCTAAAGTCTTAACAAGACAGAATCGAACGTCTTAAGCTGTGGTCAGGTTTCAGACATTGTCAAGCGTTTAACGTGAAAACTGTCGTTATTTTGGTGTTGAGTACGTCAATGTAAACCATTGAATGAAATGATGCACATCCTTATGTGGGCCTCTGATAACAATTGTAGTTTTTACACCTGCTTAGTGCTCCTTGTAAGATATATGTGTATATATATATATATATATATATATATATATATATATATATATATATATATATATATATATATATATATATATATATATATATATATATATATATATATATACTCAACTCGACTGGCTAAGTATATGCCTTGACCTTTTCATTTAAAGAGATATAATTTATATTCAAACAACAAAATTCAAAACAAATGAAAGCATTTAAAAATAAAGAAAAGCACAATTAAAAAAAAAAAAACAGGTTATATTTGTTCGGTGACTGAAAGCCATTATTCTTAAACCTTAACTCAGTAAAGTGGCTACATAAATCCATTATTCTAAACCTTAACTCAGTAAAGTGGCTACAGAAAGTCATTGACCAAAACCTTAACTCAGCATCACGCCTCTCCCCATCTACTAGCCAATGTGATGCCCCCCGTCTCCCCTAGCAACCAGATAACACCCACCCAATGGTAAGAGTGTCATTGCGTTTGTTTATCGGTTGCATTAGCGAGCTGACATTCAATGCTCAAAACATTAGAGACTTGGAGGTTTAGAAAACCTATTTATAGCCCGTGTCAAATATTAATGATGTATGCAAAACACAGCCGTAATGATCCACTACCAGCTTCTGACTTCCTAGAGCATTTATTTTTCACGGCATGCTTGTAAGTCGTTGGTAATTTATAGAAACACTACTCCCTCGCCCCACCCCTCCCAAGTTTGATGTATTACCGAAACATATCCCCGCCCTTAAGTACAAATACTTTAAAAGTCAGCAAATTTGAAGAAAATCATCAATGTACTCTAGAACACATCACTGAACAGCTGACACTAAGGGTTGTTTATCTCTCATTAAGTTCTCGGGTAATAAGTTCGTCTCCGTTTTTTTCAAAGTTCCCTTGTCCCATTTTTAAAGAGTGGGAATTTCAAAACTTCCGGTTTAATCATCTCAAATCGAGAAAAGTAAATCTGCTAATAATTAGAGTGTTAATCCTTAACGAAGTAGGGATTATCGTCGTAAAGTTCAGAACGAACTAAAAGTGTGCCTTTATCCCGACGGTCAAAAATAACAACCTCAGACCCACGGGAGGTCGGCAGTTTCGTCGTCCCCTGGGCGGGATGTAACAAGCTCTACCCTAGCCCGGCCGGCAAGACTGATCCGCCCTATATCCAATCGGCTGGATTAACTTTTTTCTTTAATCTCCAGTACCTTGACACCCCTCACCGCCCTCACCACCCCTCCCCCCTCTCACCACCCCTCCCCGCCCTCTACACCCCTCCCCGCCCTCTACACCCCTCACCGCCCTCACCACCCCTCCCCGCCCTCTACACCCCTCACCGCCCTCACCACCCCTCCCCGCTCTCACCACCCCTCCCCGCCCTCTACACCCCTCACCGCCCTCTACACCCCTCACCGCCCTCTACACCCCTCCCCGCCCTCACCACCCCTCCCCGCCCTCTACACCCCTCCCCGCCCTCACCACCCCTCACCGCCCTCTACACCCCTCACCGCCCTCTACACCCCTCCCCGCCCTCACCACCCCTCCCCGCCCTCTACACCCCTCCCCGCCCTCACCACCCCTCCCCGCTCTCACCACCCCTCCCCGCCCTCTACACCCCTCCCCGCTCTCACCACCCCTCCCCGCCCTCTACACCCCTCACCGCCCTCTACACCCCTCACCGCCCTCTACACCCCTCCCCGCCCTCACCACCCCTCCCCGCCCTCTACACCCCTCCCCGCCCTCACCACCCCTCCCCGCCCTCACCACCCCTCCCCGCCCTCACCACCCCTCCCAGCCCTCTACACCTCTCCCCTCCAAAACGTCAAAAAAGTTTAACAGCCCATTCATCTCTCGTTTTTTGTCCACAAATATATCCACACAAAAATATATCCACAAAAGAGGGCATCCATCTTTATGTCACGTGACTCCGATGTCTATGATGAATATAGATAACAAGATGGCACTAGTTTGAATGTGCTTTAACAGGCCCCGGCAAAGATGGATCGCATTCAGGTGAAATTTGTTCGCTTGGTCAAGGCTGTGACATTTCTGATGTTTTTTTTTTGTACAAGTACAATGACATACATAAGTGTAATCAGGTCGAAATTAGAAAATGTAGGAGCTATAAGCAATTTGATAAAAGAATAAATGTAATGCTAGCTAAAACACATTTAATGATTTAACTGACCACCCAATTAAGCGACAAACAATCAACTGTCTGAAATAACCATCTGTTTTCAACCAGATCAAGTAAGTACTTCTGTTTTAGATCTCCCCCCCCACCTACTAGTCCTCCTCTACCAAAAAAACTGAGTAAACCTCCCCAAATCTCTCCAAGAACGCCAGGCTTCACACAATGCCTCGAGCTGTTGGTGAAGCTAAGCCAAACAAATTATCTGGCAACTCACTTAATTCATTTCCTGTCATTTCAATTTAATGTCACCCCTTAAATCACCACAGTCAAGGTCAGTTTAAGCTGATTGGACGGAAGTCTGTACATTTACACAATATATTTGACCATGACTTTATTCTGTATACAGTTACGGCAATTGTATGCTAAGAAAATTTATGTTTGTTTTAGTGATGTCAAGTTAACAGTTATTGATTGGCTTGTCAAATTTCTATCAGGCAAAAAAAATTGTGTTGAAAAGTTTATAGTTACGTGTAGGCCCATAATTATTTTACAAAACTTAATCGTGTATTTATGTTATAGAGTACAGAAAAAAAAAATTAACACGTGTAGTTTGTTGTAAGCAAAAATTCAAAATTTCAATCCCTTCTCAGTTTCGTAAAAACGTCATTTATAGCTTTGTAACTCTATGCGGACGGCACTGTGTAGTATAGTTATCCCAATATTTTCTTCTGAATTCTCTTCATTGAAATCTCAACGGTTACTACTGTAAACACAGGGGGGATAACTCTTAACTCAGAACGTGTCTGAAAATAGAGTTGTCTTTTCACAAATGAGAGCCTGGCGCAAGACTTGTATTGCTTCTAATGGATTTTACTATCCCCATTAGAATTCTTGCTTTTAATTTGTAGAAATAATAGAAGTGGTCATGGCATTTTAAGGATGGGAAACCAGCACGTAAAAAAAAACTTTTCTAGATCGTTTCTAAGTTCTGTTTCATCGTTAACAACGTGTACATTATGTGAGTGTACATACTCCTTGGTTAAATTTTGTGTAAACAAAACTTGGTTAACCTTTGTGTGCATAATCTTGGGTTAAATTTTATGTACATAATCCTTGGTTAAACATTGTGTACATAATCCTTGTGTAAATAAAACTTGGTTAACCTTTATGTGCATAATCCTTGGTTAAATTTTGTTTACAATAATCTTGGTGAATGTGAATCACCGAATTTAATTGAAAAAATTCTTTTAACAAAACTCAACTAGCATTAATTGCCCTAACTCACACCTAGAAACTCATTCCTTGATTAAGTAAGATTACACCTTTGGCTGACCCCCCCCCCCCCCCAAATTAATTAAACTCACACATTTAACCCCCCCCCCCCCAATTAACTAAAATCACACCTTTAACCCCCCCCCCCCCCCCAATTAATTAAACTCGCACATTTAACCCCCCCTCCAATTAAATAAACTCACCACACCTTTAACTGTACTCCCCTGATTGAATGAACTCACCTTGTCTTCATAAGCATTTTCCTTGGACTTGTAGATGAACTCAATGATGGCGACAACCACGGCCAAGGCTAGTCCCACCAGCAGCACCACAAAGATACCTCCCACATTCTCTACACCCAGAGCGTTGGCTTTAGACTCCTTGGTGTCTTCCCTGGGGTGGGGGAAACATGTTCATGGTAATATGTCAACATGTTAATACGTTAATATGTATGTCAAGATTGGTGTCTTCTCTGGGGTGGGGGAAACATGTTCATGGTAATATGTCAACATGTTAATACGTTAATATGTATGTCAAGATTGGTGTCTTCTCTGGGGTGGGGGAAACATGTTCATGGTAATATGTCAACATGTTAATACGTTAATATGTATGTCAAGATTGGTGTCTTCTCTGGGGTGGGGGAAACATGTTCATGGTAATATGTCAACATGTTAATACGTTAATATGTATGTCAAGATTGGTGTCTTCTCTGGGGTGGGGGAAACATGTTCATGGTAATATGTCAATATGTTAATACGTTAATATGTGTGTCAAGATTGGTGTCTTCTCTGGGATGTTTAAATTATGTTTATCCTCTGTCAACCCACAACACAGTAGATTTTTGTCTAACCAGTCAATATAGTTTAATTGTAGTTTTTTAAATTTTACACTATTATCACAGAAACAACTAGAATATCAATGTGTGTAATTGTTTTAATTAACGCACAAGTTTTACATGTCTAATTAAGTATTTAGCAAGTCTAATTAATGTGTGACTGCTACATTTTTTAAATATGGAAAAAGATAAATATGTATATAGAACTTATGCCAATTTAGTTAATATATTTAACAACATGTCTAATTAATTTGTGAAATAAAATGTCTAATTATGTGAAGAAGAATAAAAAAGCTTCTGAATAAAATGTGAAAACAATGTGTGTACATAATATGTGAATACAAAGTGTTCACATGATTGGAAATAAAAACACAAAACGAACAACATTTGAAAAAGTTGAACAGTTTGTCAACCATAGAGTTAAAGAATAGTGGAATAGATGTGTGTCAAGGTATTGATGCAATCAGGACATTCATTTGATACAACATAACTACGTTAAAATAATACATAGAGCACGTTTTCAACAGGTGTTTATTTAACTAAACTTTCATTTTTTGAATGCAGATGGATCTATTTTGCAATCAATAGTCCAAATATCTATTCTGTCAAATCAACATCAATGTTTTATAAGCTTTTATTCAACTTCCTCTGTCTGTCTGTAGTCAGTTTGTCTGTCTTAATCCTAGATCGAAACGGTAGAGCGAAATTTCGGGCACTTGTAATCGATCAATTTATTGGAAATTCGGCACGTGGATCAATAACCAATGACAATACAATACGACATTAGATTTTACTTAATTAGATGAGTAATTAATTTTTTATGAATTAATTCTGACTATTTTACGCGCATTATCATGTTCATTTGGTATGCAATACTTTTTAGTCATGCAACTCTATTCTATTGAAAAGTTTAAAGTACTAAAAACAATGCATAATAACGTTTTAATGACAAGCTTTTATGTAATAAAACTAGAAAGAAAAGCGCGTGTCGCTTTCTAGCAAAAGAAACCAATTGATAATATTATAGCGACCCACGCTTTTATTATGGTTATTTAAAAAGTAGAGTATTATATTACAAGAAAAATTGTTTTTTTTTCTCCTTTTTATTGCATTATTACATAAAAGCTTGTTATTAAAACGTTTTATACATTTTATTTGACACTGTCAATCGCCCAGTCTAGAGTAAAGAAGATTGTGACTTGAAGATCTCATGAGCCGCGGGTCAACTAGGTGCAGCGAGCCCCATAATGAGCCGTCTACTTGCCCAATTGGACGGAAAATGACCAAGTACACCAAGGCCAAGTTAAATCAAAATTACGCGCGCTCTGCGTCGTAAACAACGACGCGTAATTCGCAGTATTTGTCGAGGTCAAGCGATGTGCGAGATACGTGTAGGTTGAGAAAAAAAGTGTTACAGAAATCGAAATGTTTTGACATATATTTATTTCTCACCCGGTAGGAAGGTTGTTTTTTGTGTTCTTGGTTCCTTTTTTTAATTTATCATTTTCATCCGCTATATGCTGCTGATCGGCGCTGTGTATGATACGCAAAGGTCACGTGTTACATTTTTATATCATACATTTTTAAACTTTTAGGTTTTTTTTTTTAAGTCTTAGACCTTTAAACTTGCATGTGTTTTATAAGTAAAATCTTTAGAGTTGTAGGCCTACATTTTTATAACTTTAAGAACTTTTATGTTAAAACTAGTAGGTTTTAAATCTTACATTTTAAAGTAGCAGATTTTAATGTAGTTACATCTTGAAACTTGTATTTGTTATTTATTTTTGCTCATGTTTAAAAAAATAAAATAAATAAATTTAGACCTTCAACTTCACACTTAAAATGTTTTAGACTTTTGAATTAACTTAACCTATTACAGTTGACAAGACGACAAATTGTTTGACGACAAAGTTCGACTACCAGGTTAAACGTTTGGCGTGAGAGCCGAGACACCAGTACATTTGACCACAATTATCGAGGTTTTTGTGAAAACACGTTATGCTATTTCACGATCTACAATTTGGTGCCATAATAACAGGTGCTACAAGATTATAGATGGTGACAAATAGTTTTCACATTGAAATATGTGGGTCAGTTTCACATGGGAGGTGTTGTCACGTGTAACTGATGCGTGAGTTTGATTTACCTGTCAGGTGTAGAAAATGGTGTGATTTACCTGTCAAGGTTACGTGCAACTAGCCTGTCCACAGGTATGACACACAGGTGTGTTTTACCTGACAGGTGCGCCACACAGGTGTGTTTTACCTGACAGGTGTGACAAACAGGTGTGTTTTACTCGACAGGTGTAACGAGCTTAGCCTCTATACAGCTAAGGTTTACCTGATGCAACTTCCGGTGTCCTTCCACCATTTGTTGTACAACATCTGAATCTTGCCGCCTTCTTGCAGCTCCAGAATAGCCATGGACAGTTTATCCCGGTATGGAGAATCTTAGATGGAAGAAAGAACAATTCAGGTGCACAACATTGAGTCAAATAGAAAGACCAACTATTCTTCTTCTTTCTGAATTAAGTGTAATATTGGAAGAGATTTCCATTAACATCAGAAAGCCACCAAGCTGGCGCCCCTTCTTCAAGCGAGGAAAGCCAAGAATGAAGCTACAAGCTATTGGCACAACAGTAACTTAACATCACATGAATATGAAGCTAGACTTACTCATAGGGAGACCTATCCCATAACCCTTGGAGTCGAGTTGACCTCCGACCTGCATGAGGTCACAGTTACGTTGCACCTGGTAGTCGATCATGAGGTTCTCCATGAAGAAGGCGTAGTTCCCCCTCTTGACCTTGGCGATACCCTCTGCGTAGGTCTCGGCAAGGACGTGAGGACGGTCCTTCATGTAGGCGTACATCCGCTTGTAGGTGTCGATGTTAGAGTCCTGGGGAGGAGGGGACAAGTGGTTACAGGTGGGTGGTTACAGGTGGGTGGTTACAGGTGGGTGGTTACAGGTGGGTGGTTACAGGTGGGTGGTTACAGGTGGGTGGTTACAGGTGGGTGGTTACAGGTGGGTGGTTACAGGTGGGTGGTTACAGGTGGGTGGTTACAGGTGGGTGGTTACAGGTGGGTGGTTACAGGTGGGTGGTTACAGGTGGGTGGTTACAGGTGGGTGGTTACAGGTGGGTGGTTACAGGTGGGTGGTTACAGGTGGGTGGTTACAGGTGGGTGGTTGCAGGTGGGTGGGTTACAGGTGGGTGGTTGCAGGTGGGTGGTTACAGGTGGGTGGTTACAGGTGGGTGGTTACAGGTGGGTGGTTACAGTTGGGTGGTTACAGGTAGGTGGTTACAGGTGGGTGGTTACAGGTAGGTGGTTACAGGTAGGTGGTTACAAGTGGGTGGTCACAGGTGGGTGGTTACAGGTGGGTGGTTACAGTTGGGTGGTTACAGGTGGGTGGTTACAAGTGGGTGGTTACAAGTGGGTGGTCACAGGTGGGTGGTTACAGGTAGGTGGTTACAGGTAGGTGGTTACAGGTGGGTGGTTGCAGGTGGGTGGGTTACAGGTGGGTGGTTACAGGTAGGTGGTTACAAGTGGGTGGTTACAGGTGGGTGGTTACAGGTAGGTGGTTACAGGTAGGTGGTTACAAGTGGGTGGTTACAGGTGGGTGGTTACAGGTGGGTGGTTACAGGTGGGTGGTTACAGGTGGGTGGTTACAGGTAGGTGGTTACAGGTAGGTGGTTACAAGTGGGTGGTTACAGGTGGGTGGTTACAGGTGGGTGGTTACAAGTGGGTGGTCACAGGTGGGTGGTTACAGGTGGGTGGTTACAGGTGGGTGGTTACAGGTGGGTAGTAACAGGTGGGTGGTTACAGGTTGTAATAAAATGTTTATACACAATCTTTCCTGGTCAAAAACTGCCGCCTTCCCCCACCCCAACTACCTAGCCTACTAGTGAAACCTCCCCTCCCCGCACTAACTAACCCAGATCTACATCTCACTCCCCGTCCCTCTCTTTAATCAGTGTTTAGTCATTGTTGTCAAGTTCTAGACGTCGTCGTTATGGTAATCAGATTTTAATGGCGTTCATCTCGTTCAAAGCCACGCGACACTTGTCTTCCTGCCGCCATCTTGAAGAGCAGTCTAAGCTTCCGGTCTGTCCCGTCACCAAACACCGGTGGTAGCCACATCCGGTTTCGTTTTTAAAGGGGGAAACACACGAGTGGTCCATCTTTGTTCAACATGAGGTATTAGTTAGATCACAGCCCTTGATGTCGGGCTAGGGACAAAATGGTCGACCCAGTTTGGCCGCGAGGCTGATAAATATTTGTAAAGTTAAAAATAAACGCGCGCGCGACAGCATAAAATCAGCGGCCCTGAAGTAAAGCGGGGTAACTGGTGCTAACCTGAGCAGGAGTGGCAGATTGGGGCTGAAACGACGCAATATAAAACAAACGAAATTGTCGAAGAGAAACTTCAAGACAAGGGGAGATTAGAAAGTAGACAGCAAGGGGAGATAAGAAAGTAGAAAACAGGGGGGAGAACTGTGGACGATCGATTCGCCATGTTTGCCGTTTGATCCGATCTTTTATCACTGTCCTTGTTCTTTCACTTCGCGGACATTTTTTTTTTATGTAGATTAAGGACAAATTTAATTAGCAGTTTTAATCAGACACAAGAGGTAGGCTAAGCTAGGAAATGACGTCATACAAATCGAGAAGGACTTAATTAACCTCAAAATTAAATTTTCTGATGTTATATAGCGAACCATGAGATACAATTACAAATAGTTTGATCATTATCTTTCTTTGGATAAGATCGAATAACCGTATGGATTCACATAGCAAGCATAATCTACACTAAAACATCTCCTATAAACCTAGACATAACTTCTGACAGTAAATCTTACACAGCCTAAGACATTCACCTCAACAAATCACTAGTGGTTCGATTTGACGAAAATAATGTGTCTGTTCTTACTGAAAATATTGTATTACAACATTAGCTTAGTTTCTACGAGTTCAAGTTATTTTCGTGGACATTTTTCTCCGCTTTCAGTATCGTCCCCTGCGAAGGTTGGTGAGTGACAAGATTTTCTTGCTTACGTCCCTTGGTTTACACAGAAATAAATCTCGCCCGGGGAAGCCAAACTTTCTTGTGTTGGGCAGGACGGCAAACTTTCATGTGCTGGGCAGGACGGCAAACTTTCATGTGCTGGGCAGGACGGCAAACTTTCATGTGCTGGGCAGGACGGCAAACTTTCATGTGCTGGGCAGGACGGCAAACTTTCATGTGCTGGGCAGGACGGCAAACTTTCATGTGCTGGGCAGGACGGCAAACTTTCATGTGCTGGGCAGGACGGCAAACTTTCATGTGCTGGGCAGGACGGCAAACTTTCATGTGCTGGGCAGGACGGCAAACTTCCATGTGTTGGGCAGGACGGCAAACTTTCTTGTGTTGGGCAGGACGGCAAACATTCTGCGGCGCTGACGTCGTTTTAAAAGCCATTGGCGTGGGATGAGAGGTGAACGGGAGTCACATGACCAACTGGGGGAAAGTATAGCACAAGCAAACTACAAACCTCAGGCTAAAACCTGGCTTGGTACTTCATGGAGTCAGACAACTTTACACAAGTGGAGTCAGACAATATGACACAACAAACGGAGTCAGACAATATGATTCAACAAACGGAGTCAGACAATATGACACAACAAACCTAAAACACTGCCGTCTCCTACATGACGCGGAGTCAGTCAACAAACCAAAAACACTATTCGTCGTGTTGCCCTATAAAACTGTCATCTACGACAAAAACTCTTTCATTGACTTAGTCTTCATGTGTTCGCGTAGTTCTAGTGTTCAGGACAAATTTCGTGTAGTTAAAGTGATCAGCACAAATTGAAAATAGTGAAAAATCTTTGGGAAATTTTATTATAATAATTGCTTGTATTTTATACTTTATGTGATTAAGTTGTTTGGACTAAACTGTTTATTTTTTCTAATCAAACTAAACGCGGTTGTGTAAAGTCGGTTAGGGGGTAATTTTATTTAGTCAATAATCATAACCCAAAAATGTGATGTCGATTAATTTTAATTTAATAATTTTTTTATTAGCGACAAAATGTTATGTTTTATGTCGTAATACAGAATTAGGAAATTAATGACAAAAACTTAATGTTCCATTTGTATGAGCACGCAGGTCATGGTGACGTTGAGGGAGGGGGCGAGTAACGGGTTTTTTGTTTTTATCCTGGTGATTCTAGCGATGGCTATAATCTTGGCCATAGCACGATGATTGGTGTGTTGTGTGTAATGTGTTGGCTGTTTTGTGTGTAGTGTGTAGCGACACTGGTGTGGCTGTGATGTGTGTTCTGTGTGGTATAGCTGTCGTTCGATGTGTATGGTCGTATGGCTGTATTATGTAGTCAGTGCAGCTGTGGTTTGGTGTTTAGTGTAGTGTGGCTTTTCGGATGGTTTGTGCTTTTCTGCTCTATTTTGATGGTCAACTATGTTAGACGAATTAATAGCACTAGCAGATAAGCCGATTAAACATTAGGTATCAAACAGTCAGTGGATTAACATTGTGTTCGGCAGGTCTTTAAGTTTTAAATCTGCTTTAGTGCAAGGGATTATCGTCTAGTTAATGAGTAAATCGGGATTAACCAAAAGGTATTTCTTTTCAGTTACGTTGTCGGAATGTAGAGCTTAATGTTCCCATTGTTTATTTAATGGCTTACAGTTTCTGTGCTTGTTACAGCCTTAGTGGTCGGTGGGGGAATTAGTGTGTGTGTTGTGGGGCGGGGATTTTGGGGTAGTAACGTAATACTGTGTGGGATCAACGTTGATATCTCGTGCGACATCGGATAATCTCCGAGATTAGCCGAGATTGACCGATCATAAACTGGAGCTACAACTCTTGCAGAACAAGGGGAGGAAACGCTGTTACACCGTTCTTGCATCGAGTCCTTCATGCAACATTTTAACGACCAATCTAGACGACTACGCTTTAGTCCTCCACAAGGATGGCTACTAATTAGGTCAACCGGAAGCTAACCAGCGGGGCTCATGGGACGGATTTAGTAGCCAGAGGTCGGTAAAAACAAAGAGATGATGTTACTGGCTAGTTGAAGTCGATAACATTACGTCATTCATACCCGGTTCTATTTATAGAGGTCAAATGGTTAAAACGGCAAGTGTCGTGACTTAATTTCAAAGGCTATTTGACAACTTGAACAGTTTGTGTTATTTTACTCAGTATTGGTTTGTTTGTTTGTTTGTTTGTGTGTACATCACGTGGGACGTACATGTGTGAGACGGACATGTGTGGGACGTACATGTGTGGGACGTACATGTGTGAAATATTATGTGTGAGATTACATATATGAAACTAGCATGTGTGGGACGTACATGTTTGAGACGTACATGTGTGGACGTGGATACACACTAAATGCATGTTGGCCTTAGCCCACTAACCAGCCGCCGACCAGTGCCAAACCTCTCTGAATGCCAGAGATACTGCAGACCCCGCCCCGGGGTACATGCTGTGGTCGTGCTTCAGTTCTGGCATCCGATTTGTGTCCGTTAATCCATTTACCGGTAGTCTGGAGATCTTGTTGCAGGCTATATACGGTGGATTAGTGAGGTCATGTAGGGTGGATTAGTGAGGTCATGTAAGGTGAATTAGTGAGGTCATGTAGGGTGGATTAGTGAGGTCATGTAAGGTGAATTAGTGAGGTCATGTAGGGTGGATTAGTGAGGTCATGTAAGGTGAATTAGTGAGGTCATGTAGGGTGGATTAGTGAGGTCATGTAGGGTGGATTAGTGAGGTCATGTAAGGTGAATTAGTGAGGTCATGTAGGGTGGATTAGTGAGGTCATGTAGGGTGGATTAGTGAGGTCATGTAGGGTGGATTAGCGAGGTCATGTAGGGTGGATTAGCGAGGTCATGTAGGGCGGATTAGTGAGGTCATGTAGGGTGGATTAGTGAGGTCATGTAGGGTGGATTAGTGAGGTCATGTAGGGTGGATTAGTGAGGTCATGTAGGGTGGATTAGGGAGGTCAGGTAGGGTGGATTAGTGAGGTCATGTAGGGTGGATTAGTGAGGTCATGTAGGGTGGATTAATGAGGTCATGTAGGGTGGATTAATGAGGTCAGGTAGGGTGGATTAGGGAGGTCATGTAGGGTGGATTAGTGAGGTCATGTAGGGTGGATTAGTGAGGTCATGTAGGGTGGATTAATGAGGTCAGGTAGGGTGGATTAGTGAGGTCATGTAGGGTGGATTAGTGAGGTCATGTAGGGTGGATTAATGAGGTCATGTAGGGTGGATTAATGAGGTCAGGTAGGGTGGATTAGGGAGGTCATGTAGGGTGGATTAGTGAGGTCATGTAGGGTGGATTAGTGAGGTCATGTAGGGTGGATTAATGAGGTCAGGTAGGGTGGATTAGTGAGGTCATGTAGGGTGGATTAGTGAGGTCATGTAGGGTGGATTAGTGATGTCATGTAGGGTGGATTAGGGAGGTCATGTAGGGTGGATTAGCGAGGTCATGTAGGGTGGATTTGAAATAAAATAATGAGGTGTTTTTATATGTTTTGTTTACTATTACCTCACATAATGCTACTAAAGCATATTGTAGTATTCGACAGTAATCTTTCTATAAGGTATACGATAGCAAATTATAATACATCCTTTATTATAAGCTTTTATTTAGTTTACAATGTCTGTTCGTTTGTGCGTATGTGGCAAGTCTTGTAACTCACCTTTGACCCACATTTAATGCAGCGATTTTGTTCAAATTGTCCAGATACATTTGTTCCCGCTGACATCGCAGACTTATTTTAACCTCATTTGACATTAGGGTAGCCATTTGTATGCGAGTAAAACATTACTCCATTCAATAATAAAAGATAGTTGTTTTTTAGAGATCGCATGCCACTGATCGGGTTTTAAAGCAAATATTTTTAGTCAAATGTGGTGTCAACTTCATTTAGAAAGAATTACTAAAAAGTGAAAAAATAAAACGCATTTAAAATACCTTTATAACAATAAGCTTTTAAATACACTGAAAAAAAATATAATTAAATAAAATTGCTATCTTAAAAAAATATTTAGTTGCTGATGAAATCTCTTAACATTTTAGCCACCAATGTTTTTTTTAAAGCAAGCAAAATTCTTTTTCTTTCGTAGTTTTTAAAAATTATAAATGTTTTTTCTTCTTGTTTTTGCTTTATTTTTCTACTGTGACCAGTGTTTCTTCCAGACTTTTTTCTCCGGGGGGGCACTTGAAATTTTCGGGGGGGCGGTAGACTTTCTTCGGGGGGGCGGACACTGTTAAAAGTATATATTTTCTATATAAATTATATAAATTTCATTTCGTTCGGGGGGGGGAGCGGTAAAAATTTTTCGGGGGCGAAGAGATGCCTGGAAGAAACTCTGACTGTGACTGTTGGCCAATCTAAGAAAAACTAGAACGTAGATCTAATTTTAGATCAAGGACTAACCTGTGCCCTTTATACAAACAAATTACAATAGAAATTTTACTCGAGATCTTTTGTCTAATTTATAATCTGATGAAAAAAAAATAGAAAGTCCTAATTCAGGAATCCTCTTGGAATTGAGATATCAAGACATTAGTTTTCTAGAATAGAAATGAAATTTCCCTCAAAACTATATACCCTCTAATTTAGCGTGATATTACATCCCTTTTAACAACTTATATTTTAAAAACTACAAGTATCACGTCTTTTGTGTCTACTAGTCTGTCTGCTGAGGGCAAGTGACTAGAGCTGGTGTCAAAGTTCAGTGAAGAGGGCTGTCAGTGTCAGTGGGCAACAAGTCTGTCTACTGAGGGCAAGTGACTAGAGCTGGTGTCAAAGTTCAGAGAAGATGGCTGGCAGTCGAGAAGAAGCAGCAACAAGGAACGGTAACAAGTGCAGGCAATAAATCTATCGTGTTACGGTTAGTGGTGGGGGTGGAGGCGGGGAGGGGTGGGAACCATTGCCTCTAGTTACACGTCATCTTTCATTTAGTTAGTTGGTACATCATTTCAGACGCTGTATCGTAGAGTCTCATTAACTGGAGTATAAGTCTCATTACTGAGTCTAGCTCTAGCTGTCTTACCATTTGATCTAGCTGTCCTAGGCGATAGCTGTCCTACAGAGTCAGACAGTAGCTGTCTTACAGTCAGGCAGTAGCTGTCTTACAGTCAGGCAGTAGCTGTCTTACAGTCAGGCAGTAGTTGTCCTACCGAGTATAGCACTGAAGAATTACACATGACATGCGTGTAAGTTCGGGTACCCAAATATTGGCAGAACTTTCACAAGGAACTCGTGGAGTACCAAGTGTGTTTCGCCCCACAGATGGTGTTATTGTGTGTTTCACTCCACAACTGGTGTTTGTGTGTGTGTTCCACCCCACAAATGGTGTTTGTGTTTGTGTGTTACGCCCCACAGATGGTGTCATTGTGTTTCACTCCACAAATGGTGTTTGTGTGTGTGTTCCACCCCACAAATGGTGTTTGTGTGTGTTTTTCACCCCACAAATTGTGCATGTATGTGTGCGAAAACTGAACAGCACACTGTGAGAGACAAGGTTTAATAGAATACAATGGCATGGATTAAACTAGACTTTATAGATAATCATATCAGGGAATACAAAAGGTAGAGGTCACAACAGGTAAGTTATCACACTGGTTGACCATGTACCACGCCAGCAGGTAAAGTAATACAATGTAAAGTAACACACAGCGTAAAGTAACACACAACGTAAAGTAACACAATGTAAAGTAACGCACAGCGTAAAGTAACATACAACATAAAGTAAAACACAACGTAAAGTAACACACAAAGTAAAGTAACACACAGCGTAAAGTAACACAACGTAAAGTAACGCACAGCGTAAAGTAACGCACAGCGTAAAGTAACACACAACGTAAAGTAACAAAACGTAAAGTAACACACAGCGTAAAGTAATATACAATATAAAGTAACACAACATAAAGTAACACACAAAGTAAGGTACCACACACCGTAAAGTAACACACCAGGAAAGATACTTGAAAAAAAAGTTACTTGACGAGTCAAGTACCACACGGACACACCAGTCCGACTGACCTTGAAGAATGAGAATGTGGAGGAGCTGACCCTGGTGCCATACTCAATGTCCGTCTGTCGTGACAGGTCCTCGGCGTTCTCTATGGGGGACACCATCCGCTCGACCGTCAGGAAGGCTGCCAGGTTGGCCGTGTAGGAAGAGATGATGATGAGGGTGAAGAACCACCAGATGCCCCCCACAATACGGGTACTCACTGCCCGTGGGTTGATGTCTGGGGGGGGGGGGGGGGACAACAAAAAATGTTACAGTACTGGTTTGGGTTATTCATGGCTTTGTTTGACCAGCTATTTAGACGAACGTAAAATACACCAATACACCAGCAGAGGTAGGCCTAGTTGAAACATTTAGACACAGACTGTCAAAACATGACTTAAACAAACATTCTATAACATAGTTCAAGTGTACTTTAAAACAGTAGCAAATTGAAAAAATTTAGAAAGTTAGTTAAAACATATCTTAAATATTCTTTGAAAGCTAGTTAAACAGTACTTTAAACATTTGCAAATTGAAGTGGACTTCTGTTGCGTGTTTGTCAAAAGTCATTAATATCTGGTCTCGCTAATTACCCCCCTCCTCCCCAACCTCCCCCCCCCCCCCCACGGTAATAAAAGAGTCATCACCCACATGGGAACTACGAGTCACAAATCTAATATGTGCATGCTTCAGCTAACGTTAGTCATGAACAACTTCAAGTTTGAAGTTTTAAAAATGTAATTAAATTTCGGGACTCAACAAATTAGGTTAATGATAATGTATTTACAACAACTGGCGAAAATGATTCAATCTGCACCCGTTTATTTTTTTAAAGGCTGATTACTTGAAACTGAAGTTTTAAAACTCAAATGAATATCAAGTGGTACAATGAGTTTTGACGGCATGCAAGCTAGATCATACTAGGACCTACGGTTATGACTTTACTATATAGCAGTACGAAATCAATAAATTTTTTGATGGATATATCGATATAGTGTATTCTGTCTGTGATGTCTATTCGGCTGCCTGCCTTTCTTAATCAACAACATCATTGTTCATCTTGCTACCAACAACTACAATACAACCAACAGCCACAACCAACAGCTACAACCAACAGCTACAACCAACAGCCACAACCAACAGCTACAACCAACAGCTACAACCAACAGCTACAACCAACAGCTACAACCAACAGCTACAACCAACAGCTACAACCAACAGCTACAACCAACAGCTACAACCAACAGCTACAACGTCATTACTGTAAACCCTAAATGACATCCGACCCCTCTGAGATGATCTACCAGACCCCCCCACAAACCACCTAACTGACCCCTATGAACCATCTTCCCGACCCCTAAGAACCACCCACCCGACCCCTGTAAACTACCTATCCGACCCACCCACCTGACCACTACGAACCACCCACCCGACCCCCATGCACCACCTACCGACCCCTACGAACCACCTGACCACATGACCCACCTACTTGACCCCCATGACCCACCTACCTGACCCCCACGAACCACCCACCTGACCCCCATGAACCACCCACCTGACCCCCATGACCCACCCACCTGACCCCCATGAAGACCTACCTGGCCCCCATGACCCACCTACCTGACCCCCACGAACCACCCACCTGAATCCCATGACCCACCCACCTGACCCCCTTGAAGCACCTACCCGACCCCTGTTGCATGAGTGTGCCCACCGTGAACCAGAAGCTGTTGGAAAGGTTGAATGTGTTGAGCACCTCGTCTGTGTTGGGGTTGCAGGGGTGGGGGTTGTACCACTCGTAGGGGCTGAAGCGTGCTAGCGTGAAGATGGTGAAACTAACTATCAAATAGGCACCTGTGGATAGAAGACATTCATCACATCAGTTCCATAGGCCCAGGTTTAAAACGGCGATAAAAACAAAAATCAAATGATTTTTTTTTGTAACGCCTACCGCAAGTCGTTCAATCACTAGAGGCATTTAAATTGTATTCGGCTGTGGATGTGTGTTGTATGTCATTAGTTTTATGTGTGTTAACATCGTGTAGAGAACTACTAGAGAATTTGTACGTTCTGGGTATGTGTTAGATCAAAGAGCGGAGAATTAGGCGAAAATAGACAAAATAAACACAATAATTATGTTGACATAGCTCTAAAAATAAAATTATTTTGTGTTAACAAAGCCCATGGGCTGGAAGATGAGCGCTTATCTGCAGGGGCGTATAGGGCTTGTTCATGTGGGATGGGGGGATGGCTTGGTGTTGAGGGCTGGGAGAGGGCTAGGTTTTGGAGGTTGGGGATGGTTTTACGGAGGTATGGGGGAGGGCTTGGTGTAGGATTAGGGGGGGGGTGGCTTTGTATTGTGGCAGGGCAGATTAAGCTTGTGATTGAAGGATGGGTTGGTGATAGAGGAGTTGTATGGTGTCAGTCGATTGTAAAACCATATAGCGTGTGTGTAGCATAGAGACCAACACGAGACTTTTCAATTGATTCAAAGAAAATGTGTTTAAAACTAGCGTGAGATTGCGTGCATTAGAAGAAAGTAGAGTTATGATAACCAGAGTTTAAAACTTAATTATAAAACTGCAGAGTTTAACTATCCAAAAGTCTAATTGTGGGTTACATAAAATTGTGTTGCTACCAAACAACGCTATACAGCAAAGTACTTGATAACATTGCGTTAGCGGTAACAACACCTCATGCATTGGGCTACTGGGTGAAGTGTTATTGGCGAATAAGTAAAATGTTACCAATAACATAATCCCATACAATGGAATACAATGGGCTACACATAACATACATTCATATAAAACGTGTTACCTATAACACAGCCATATAAAACGTGTTACCTATAACATACAGCCATATAAAACGTGTTACTTATAACATACAAAAAGTGTTACCTATAACTTAGAGCCATGTAAAACGTGTTACCTATAACATACAAATGGTGTTACCTATAACATAGAGCCATATAAATCGTGTTACCTATAACATACAAAACGTGTTACCTATAACATATAAAACGTGTTAACTATAACATACAAAACGTGTTACCTATAACATACAAAACGTGTTACCTATAACATATAAAACGTGTTACCTATAACATATAAAATGTGTTACCTATAACATACATCCATATAAAACGTGTTACCTATAACATATAAAACGTGTTACCTATAACATATAAAATGTGTTACCTATAACATACAGCCATATAAAACGTGTTACCTATAACATATAAAACGTGTTACCTATAACATATAAAACGTGCTACCTATAACATATAAAACGTGTTACCTATAACATATAAAACGTGTTACCTATAACATATAAAACGTGTTACCTATAACATAGAGCCATATCTCAATGGCCAGAGGGTTGAGGAACGAAAATAGACCGGGTTTTTCCTTTCTCGGGACCTTGAACAAGATGCTGATGCCCAGGTTGAGGAAGGGTTTGGTGAAGTCAATGACCTGCTCGCGGATGTAGGTGATGGTCAGTGGGGCGATGGCCAGGTCGGCTCTCTGGAACCAGACAAATTCTTCAGGCATGGACACAGACGTATGTAGTCATTCAATCATAGACACAGACGTATGTAGTCATTCAATCATAGACACAGACGTATGTAGTCATTCAATCATAGACACAGACGTATGTAGTCATTCAATCATAGACACAGACGTATGTAGACATTCACTCATGGACACAGACATATGTAGTCATTCAATCATAGACACAGATATGTGCAGGTATTAAGTCACGGAATCAAAAATATTTAGTTATTGGATCACGAAATCAAAAACGTTATTTAATTGTTAAATCACGGAATCAAATACATCATTTAATTATTGAATCGTTGAATCAGAAACATCATTTAATTATTGAATCGTTGAATCAGAAACATCATTTAATTATTGAATCGATGAATCAGAATCTTATTTAATTATTGAATCCATGAATCAGAAACATCATTTGAATACTCAATCGTTGAACCTTAAATTTATTTAATTATCTTATTACGGAATCAAAAACATCATTTAATTATCAAATAATGAAAACAGAAACATCATTTAATTATTTAAAAATTTACCGCCACACACAGAAGAGTTAGATATTTAATAAAAATGAAGTCAATTAGAAATTTAAAGAAACGAAACAAAAAAGCTGATTTCAGACGGCAACTGGGATTAAACTCGAGTTTTTAAAATATAAAAGAAATCTGATAGACATTTCGTACATTATTTAAAACTTCAGATTAATTATTCCGTTAATACTTTAATTTTTAGATTATAGGAAAATATTGTAACTAAAAAATCTTAATATACAGACATTTGACACAAATGAGAGTGGATATATAAAAGTTCATGAGATATTTGTCAAACTTAAGGTAAAGTTGCTTTGGTAATGGTAGTTTTATTGAAATATTATTGAACACCTTATTGAATTCTGTATAATTCTGTATTGAAGTGGCGATACTTGGAACTACTTCTTTGTAAATAGTGTGATAATGTGAGGGTGCCACATCACTGCTTGTTTAATCCACCTTGAAATGTGGGGTGTGTGGGCGGGTGTGGGGGTGTATCTGGGGTGTCATATCACTTGCCTCAACTGTTTGGCGTGTGTGTTGTGTGAGGTGTGTGTGATGTGGGTGTACCACTACACTACTCTCAATGATCTCATCCCATCATGTGTGTTGTTGGGTGTGTGAGTGTGGTATGTGGGTGCCACACCACTTACCCTCTCAATAATCTCCCGCACCTGTGTGGTGTGTGTGGTGTGTGTGTGTTGTGGTACCACTTACCCACTCAATAATCTCCCTCACCTGGGGGTGTGTGGGGTGTGTGGGTGTGTGTGGTGTGTGTGTGTGGTACCACTTACCCACTCAATAATCTCCCTCACCTGTGGGGTGTGTGGGGTGTGTGGGGTATGTGCGTGTGGTGTGTGTGGTATGTGTGTGGTACCACTTACCCTCTCAATGATCTCCCTCACCTGTGTGGTGTGTGTGATGTGTGGGGTGTGTGTGTGGTACCACTTACCCTCTCTATGATCTCCCTCGCGAGTCTGGTGTGTGGTGTGTGTGGTGTGTGTGGTACCACTTACCCTCTCAATGAACTCCCTCACCTGTGTGGTGTGTGGTGAGTGTGGTGTGTGGTGTGTGGTGTGTGTGTTACCACTTACCCTCTCAATAATCTCCCTCACCATACCATCCCACTCCCCAGCTGCGTTAGGCGAGCCATAGTTGCCGTCTGGTACCAGTTCTATCCGGAAGTTAAAGCCAACAATTTTGGCCAACTCTTTGGCCAGATCAATACAGAAACCCTCATAGGGTTCGTCGGGGGTTGGGTTCTCCTTGTCCATTAGGAACGGGGCCTCCTAAAACAATTTAAAATCTTTTTTCAGCGAGCTTAGAGCTTTGACTGACAGGATCTTTTAGGCTAACTTTCAGAGCTAAGCTGGAATCTGGAAGCCCGTCACTTTCCGGACCGGCGGAGACAGAAATTATGTTCCGTTACCGCGAGTCGAGGAAAGATGGCTGCGTCATCAGACAGTGCTCTGGTGCACTATAGGACTGCATCTTCAGCTGTTACACTTTAGGGCTGACTTCAACTAGAAGTTGTTGTTTATACATTAAACTAAATACATAATTTATAAAACAACCATGCAACATTATGAATCTTATCTATACTATCACACATACACACACACACAGACACACACAGAGACACACACACACGCACACACACACGCACACACATACAAACACACACACAAAACTCAATCTGTCTAATCAAATTTGTTACACAATGTACGCAGTTTATAAAAACACTTTTTAAATTAAATTATTTTATAAAAAATAGTTTTTTTTTTCCAAAACAAAGCCAAAACTTATGAGGCCGTAAGTCTAAGGAGGATTATTCCTTGGGTGGTCTTTTGTATGGCTGTGTGTTTATGGTTGTGTGTGTTTGGCTGTGTTTGTATGGTTGTGTTTGGATAATCTCGACACTAGTCCTTTGATGGTCGTTCAAAAGTCAATTAGAATTAGTGTTACAAGATATTATTTCTGTATGTTTTTCTGTCGCTCTTACATAATTTTATATTTCCAGTTTTAGCTAAGTAAAGCATACAGGACGGACCTTGGGACATTGTCCTGACTGTGGGACATTGTCCTGATTAGTTGTAACTACTCGGCTAATTGTCCAGACACAATCACCATCAGCGTCCTGTTGTGTATGAGCTGCCCATGACCGTATCGATCCATGACTTCCTGCTACTGAGTACGTCCACGTTCCGATACTTTATGAGGGCTACGTCAGCGACCAATCGATGAGGGTCTTGGACGCTGGGGGCGGGCTGATTGGATAGGCCGGACCGGGTGAAATTATCGCCGTTTGTTTTTATAATTAAATGAACGTGATTTGAAGAAGAAAAACACACAGTTCTGATGAATACAAATTTAAATAACAAACGCGCCTAAAACCCGGCAGTCGTTTGGTTCATCAATCAAGCAGAAGTGACGCTGTCTTGTCGTTTTGCTCTATACAAGAGTGATGTTTGCGCGTGAGTAGCTTCCCTTTGTCTGCCCGCTTATCTCCCATTTATTGTTACACTCCCCTGCTCAATTTTAACGGTTAAATAAAATCCTGACAGATTTTTATTTCAAATCATGAATTTTATTGAAAACTTTTCAAGCTCCTGCCATTTTAAATCACACCCGCCACTGAAAAAAACAAATTCACTACGTGTGCAGGCAAGCGTGTCTAATTATATCAACATGCACCTTGTTTATTGCGCATGTCAGTAGCGGATGTGACGTCAGTATAAACACGGCAATAAAAAGAAAGTTCTTATGTGAGTCTTACGGCGGAATGGGATTGTAGTGTCCAGTGTGACGTAGGGTGTATGACATGGGACTGAGTGTGGCCTTGAGTTGAGTGTGGCATGGTGTTGGCTGTGTCGCCAATCTTAACCATATTGGCGTAGAAAATTTGCACACCCGTTGCCAGCTGAGAGGTTACGATTGTACCCAAAACAAAACAATAATAATAAAGTTCAATGCTGCTATGTGCTCAAGTATGCATAGATAAACTTATGTTAGCACAAGAGGTGCTGACATCACACTGATGTTAACCTATGACGTACGCTGATGTTAAACTATGACATACGATGATGTTAACCTATGACATCACGCTGATGTTAACCTATGAAATCACGCTGATGTTAACCTATGACATCATGATGATGTTAACCTATGGCATCACGCTGTTAACCTATGACATCACGCTGATGTTAACCTATGGCATCACGCTGATGTTAACCTATGGCATCACTGATGTTAACCTATGACATTATGCTGATGTTAACCTATGGCATCACTGATGTTAACCTATGACATTATGCTGATGATAACCTGTGACATCACTGATGTTAACCCATTTGAGGCTAACATCAAACAGAATGAATGGAAGAACTTGGTGACCTTAATGCCGAGAATGCATTAAACCTGACTGCAAAGGGCAAAGCCATTAAGGTCATCATGACCTAGTGTCACGAGCCGATGTTGCTGGGTCGAATAACATTTATTCATCAACAAATGTCTGTCCACGTCCTTATAGTGTTTAGGTGCTCATGACATGCGGCGTTTGCTCATGACATGTGGTGTTTAGGTACTCATGACGTGTGGTGTTTAAGTGCTCATGACATGCGGTGTTTAGGTGCTCATGACGTGTGGTGTTTAGGTACTCATGACGTGTGGTGTTTATGTGCTCATGACGTGTGGTGTTTATGTGCTCATGACGTGTGGTGTTTATGTGCTCATGACATGTGGTGTTTAGGTACTCATGACATGTGGTGTTCAGGTGCCAATGACCTATCTTGTTTAGGTCCCCGTCACTTATACTCTTTAGGTCCTAATTCCCTAAGGACTTACGAGGTTAGAGTCCTCATGAGTTGTAGGTCAAGGGTCGACAGATTAATGACACCAATCATTGAAATAGAATTACGTAGATCAAGAAATTAATGTTCATGTTATTCTACATTTAACATACAAACGATATGTAAGCAGCTAATTAGCCAGGGTTTTTTTCAAGTGTAATTACAGGCATTTAATTATTAACAAGATATGGCTTATGAACTCGTTGCTTTTAAATACGCTGAACAAACGAGTATAGAACCGTAACCTGATCAATGAAGGCTATACGATTACCTATGCCACCAAACTCAATCAATTCTTACACTTAGGTAATGTGGGTGTGGAGGTGTGCCTAGTATTAGCATGACAGCGTGAGGGTCGTGTTTTTTCAAACTTGGGTACGCTTCATTGGCTCCCACACCACATCAAAGCGGGTGGCCAGAAAAAACAATCAGGCATCCCATCGTACGGGTATCACGTGATACACTATATCAAAGCGGGTGGCCAGAGAAAGCAGCAGGTATCGCATAGTACGGGTATCACGTGATACACTATATCAAAGCGGGTGGCCAGAGAAAGCAGCAGGTATCCCATCGTACGGATATCACGTGACAATGTGAGACGTTTAAACTTTGATGAGAATAAAATCTTTGACAGGGGTAGTGACGTCAACGGTGTTTGGGTACACACCACTAGTGCGACCAGTGAAGCGTGAAATGAAGTCAGTGAAGTGATGAAGGGACAACAGGGGGGGGGGGCTGTGATAATAAACCGTTACTCAGGGAAAAGTGTTTTGATGAAACTGAAGATGGCGTTAAATCAGCTGGTACGTATCAAGTACTCACACTACAGCTCAGCTTGTTTTATCGGCAGTAGTGGTGCAGCTTTAGCTCGCAGTTTAAGGTTTAGCTCACAGGTTTAAGTTTAGCTCACAGTTTTAAGTTTAAATCACAGTTTTAAGTTGAGCTCACAGTTTTAAGTTGAGCTCACAGTTTTAAGTTTAAATCACAGTTTTAAGTTGAGCTCACAGTTTTAAGTTTAAATCACAGTTTTAAGTTTAAATCACAGTTTTAAGTTTAAATCACATTTTTAAGTTTAAATCACAGTTTTAAGTTTAAATCACATTTTTAAGTTTAAATCACAGTTTTAAGTTTAAATCACAGTTTTAAGTTTAAATCACAGTTTTAAGTTTAAATCACAGTTTTAAGTTGAGCTCACAGTTTTAAGTTTAAATCACAGTTTTAAGTTTAGCTCACAGTTTTTATTTTAGCTTACAATATTGTACTTAAAATTGAGCTTATCATTAACTAATCTATTGACAGAAAACAGATAAAAATGAAGTGATATGCCTATACGGTGCTTTCGTATGTATCCAGTGTTATTTGATAAAACGTATTTTTAGTTCATGTCATTCACCCTAACACATTGATGTTCATTTTAGGTCATTCATCTCAAGTGTGTCGTGTAAACAATGATTGTTGTAAACAGTGTCTCGTGTAAATAACTTGTTGTGTAAATAGTGTGTTGTAAACAGTGTGTCGTATAAATATCGTCTAGTGAGATTGTGTCACGTATGCTTAAGTTGATGTACTGAATGAATGAGTTTATATGTGGACAACTGAGTTGGGTTAATGTTCATATTGTGATGCGATGTGGGCTGTATATTTTAGGGGGAAGTTTGGACGTAGACGGTGTTTAAGGGGGACGGTTGGACGTAGGCGGTGTTTAAGGGGAGGGGGGTTGGACGTAGGCGGTGATAAAAATAACAGTAAACGTGAGTAGTCCGATGTTTTACTTTCTGACAAGGGTGTGCTTTGGTTAAAGAATTTGATAATTGATTCAACTGCTGCTTGTAATAGTTGCCATAGTCCACCGATTTTGCGATAACCCAGCATTAGGCATGTCATTACCGAGATCACCAATTTTTGTCGATATTTGCCAAAATACCTCTACATACCACTGTCAAATCACCAATACTTGTCATTGTTACTCCACAAAATACAATAATATTGTTCGATGGAAAAACATTGATCAAGTTGACGATTTTATCCGCTTAGTGTTTTTTTTAAAACTTCCCCCAAAAATTAAATATCATTCAACGTCTCCAAGAGATCAGAGGCCAAGATGGCCACCAAATTTTTGAATGGCTTCCTAAAAACTGGCGTGCTCCGCTGGCGAAGACATTCGGGAGCACGGCGGATTTTTTCCACAGAAATTAGATGGACACAAAGAAAAGGAAAAGTTGCCAAAGTGGATTCCTGTGGCCGAGGCTGAAACTATACAAGAATAATTGAGATATATCGATGTTTGGCTCATCCCCCCATCCGGCCATCCCCCCCCCCCCGTCCGACTGGGAATAAAACAGCCAATATTTTCTTGAGCTCCGTTTCTGCAGCTTGCAGTGGCCTGTTTGGCTTCTGGTGGCCAAACAATCTGGCCAGGGGATAAAATAAAAGGCGTAAAA